CCTGCCCAAGAGCGCTTATCACCCATAATGTCCCCGGAGCGCCGCGGGCCTACGTTGACCAGTAATCTCGGCAGCCGCAATTCCCAAAATTAATCGGTTTTCAGACCATAAAGCGACGAGTTAAACATATAGTTAGTATAATTGGCCCCGGGTTACCAGGAGGTTATATTTCACCGCATGTAATGAGTGTTGCGCGCAATCGAATTAGGCTACTGGCCTAGGATGATTAAACGGATATTCGGTTGCGGGCCTGTTAATAACCGAGGGGCGGGGCCCATCCATCAGAGGGCCTCATTAATGTTAACAAACCTATTGCTTCTGCCATCGGGAAATGAATTAAATAAATTAGTAGAGGCATCCGTCTGTGATGACTTGGCTGCTGTCAGCGTGTCAGGAGATATGCCACTCCTTACTGACTACGAACTACAGCGTTGGCTGTGAGCTGTGAGTTAGTTACTTTATCTCGGGATGTAAACATGTCTCGTCGCCATAGTGAAAGATTGCGACTTTTAAAAGGGGTTTAAGTAGAATGAAACTCAGATAAACGCTTAAATTGGTGGATGCATGAGCTTATCAATATTAGTATTCAACGTATACACGTTTTTTTGGGATGCAACTCTAAACGTTGGAGTTGTAGTGAGAAATTTCTCCTGAAATTATTCGATTTGGGTTGAAATTCGATGTTCAGGGTGTTTCGAAATTATCTCCTGAAACTCCATGGTCATGTTCCTTAGGTCAAAACGAAAAAAATATCATATAAACATATTACCCTATCTCGCTTTGTTTTCCGCCTGTCAGTGTGTATGTATTTTTTACATAACTCACCATAACTTTGGAACTACTTGAGGTACCAACTTTACACTTGGTACGTGTATGATGACTAACAGGAACTATTATTTTGCAAAGCATCAAGTTTCTACTTTGTATAATTTCAGAATGGTGGTCATTTTAATGTTTCAAAGCTTAATAACTTAAAAACCATAGGATTTATAAAAACAGTTACAAAAGACAAAAAGTATGGAAATTAAATTCATTTTACAGAAATGTACAGTTTTTATAGGGTCATAACACAAATAACGGACCCTGTATGGTCCATAGATATTTACTGTGATTGCAATGCTGAGATGGTACAGTAGTTCGAAACCCGCAGTTTGGTTTACCAATCTAATACAGCAAAGAATGTGTTTGTAAGCGAGAAATACATGTTTCCGTAAAAAAAAATAAATTGAACGCCCACAACCTTATTACATTTTTTTCAGTTATAACAAACTGAGAGCTGATTACATTATTGTCCTGGGCCAAAGATGACTTTGAATCTCTAGAGATCAGGAATATATTATGTTCTATGTACCCACACTTAATACAAAACAAATTCTGTTAAAAAACTATACTAACAACTCTAACTAGGATACAACACTATACATAGTATCGTGAGTTCTACAACTCGACAACGTTCAATATCAATTTCGCCACGTCTCACGCGTGCACGCGCGTGTAAATCTCCTACAGGACTCAATCCCCAGGACTCCCCTAGGTGCAGCATAAACGTCGTCCCAATCCAAGTAACAAGGCTCGCGATTTACACCCAACAAACAATGTAAATCAATACTCAAGACTCCCGGAGATCTCTCTCCAATAATGGATTTAGCGACAACTCACGACTCACGTCTCTGTGACCGTAAATGCGACCGTAAATAAATTGCATTATGACCGTCAGTTGTATCATGTCAGATTGTATCGTTTGACGTTTAGAACCCGCGCGACTTTATAGGAATCGTGGACCGTAAATCTTGCTTCTTTGTAATTGAAATTGTCGGCCTCGCTGATTGACTAAATTTGTTTTCAAGGAATGGCAGTATTTTCGTGCGATGGCAGATTTTTGGATTTTTACAGCTGCGTAAATTTTTGAAATGCTTTTACGATGGTGTAAAACATATTTGTGGTTTGTGTAGTCAGTTATGTCGTCGGCTGTTTGAATTGTTACAAATTTTGATGGTTTTCGAATAAATTGGCCACCTGCGGTGTTTCCAGTTTACAGCATGCCACTCGTGTTAAAAATAGGTCGCTTCCCTAGTAATCGGTAAATGTGAATATTGTCTATCTAGTCTGCGTATTAAGTCATATATGTATGTATTACCAAAAACGTTCACCCGACCACCGAAAAAACCATAGATAAAACATATCCTTGTAAAACTGGTGTATATTGTTCTATATACGCCTTGGAAGGATATTTCGTAAGTACTAGCCAATTATCAACCAGTTTACCAATCTCCAATATGGTATTTCGTCCTGCATTCTCCCACCAAAACTACCATAATGTCCGAACCTCGTGTTTCAACGGCACCACATCAAAGCTATATACAAATTAGATTCATTCATCTCGTTAATTCCCTTCATATCGCATCCTCGGGCCAGAGTTTGTGTGGTTAATTAAACGTTTCGACCGCCCACACGCTCCGTCTTCAGGGCAACTATGATAGTTTATGTAATTTTGTTTTGTTTACACAACTCCGTTCACAAACGTCATCCTAATGCAGCAAGACGTGCAGGATTCAGTGTGCCCCATCGCGGTCGTGTGTGTGTGTGTGTTTACACCTGTTTCATGGACCACCCGTCCCGTCACCCCATGAGATCTGATCCCTTATAATGTTTAATTAGTACACTAGACCTCACGTAGCCTCTTTGCTGGGCCTTAGTAATTAATTATGGACCTGTTTCAAACATCCTTTGGCAACTAAGTGTCTTGTCAGTGGTGTACTTTGTGTTATATCTACTCGACAAATTCATCTACGGATGAATGCGCTTTTTATCTAACGCTCTTCTGACAACCTGAAGATGTGCCCTAGCTGATTGTAGTCGTAGTATCTTTAAGTGTAACCATTGACTATTGGATACTGAAGGTGTTACTTATTTTTAAAATTACAGGAGTATGTTTTATCTATCGGTACAGGTATAAACAGTAATAATCAGCATGAACACATAAAGTAAATTGTTCTTCAAAATATGACAATAAAACATTTTCTTACAGTTTTGCAACTTTCTTACTTACGTGCCAAGAGGAAAACAGTTCGTATGCTCGTTCATACTTCTTTCTTGATTTTTCAGGTAACCGGTTTAATGAAACATGTTTTCAGTTTCTGCTATTTCTGATTTACCATTATATGTATTCACAATAATTTTTACCGGGTTCATTATTTTTAAACATTTTAGGCCCACTTATAATTCATCTTTCAGATACTTCACTTGAACACTTCAGGTTATGTTTAAACCAAGCGTTGAACAAAAATATAATATTAACTATTAACACGAAATGACAGGTTAAATCGTAGTTATAATAGTCAATCAGCTGATCATAGTATTATTATCTTTAAGTGTTGCCAACCTATTTCCAAGCGTACACGGATTACGTGCATAACAAATAAAACCACGCTGTTTTGTGTTGTTTTTGGTTTGAATCTTGATGTACGCCAAAGTATAAACCGTGCGACAAAGTAAGTAAATTCAGCAATTAGAAGCTTTCTGTACTATAAAAAGTGCAAGGAAGCCAACTTTGTCGGGTGACTGTAGGAAAACCATTTTATATTTGTGTTATCAGGTTGATATTGTTTTCCCCTTCTTTGTCAGGAAAAGATATTTAAGTAACATATTTATCTAATTGGTTTAGCTGTTATGATCCAAGATCCAAGCTGAACAAATGGTATTTGAGTATGGAAGAGGAAGGGTGTAAATGGAACAAGAGGTATTCTAGGTTATAAGTTTACCTTGTGTTGTATCACTCTTAAGCTCAACTACGGTAGGACACATCCATCTACATCTAACCTTGTTGTAACAACTTCAAGGAGAGACTTGTGTTGTGAGAAGGACCCGCATGAAGGTAGAAAAATATATTACTGCAACATAACTGCACTTATTCTTTGCCACTTTGAAGATTGCAACAATTTGGTGGTGTCACTTTGGTACCAAGATTAAGTTGAGGAGACACACAGCTCCAGATATATGGTAAGAGAGTGTAGTTCATAAATTGAAACTGGAAAGTAATGAAAATGTGTTTAGCCTTTTAGTGGAAAGAGCACATTATTCAGCATACGTACAAACCATTTTTACAGGTCAACTAGCCTACGTTAAAACATATTGACCAAAGGAGGATCAGGAATTTGTTCCTGTGCTTTGTAATCAATTCCATTAGTAAGTTTCATCCTTCTCGTATAACCTCTCCCGTATGGTCCGGCAAACAAAATCCCAGTCCTGTTTAAATAAAGAAGTTGAGGTTTAGAGCAGTTGGTTTGGATCAACTGTCCTTGCTACTAGCAACACTATCACACATCACAACACTGGTCTGCCATGGACTTAGCAGGTTTACAGTAAGCTGGTCTTGTTCTTGGTCAATGATTTTTGGTTTATCATCTTCTAAGGGTAACCTGGAATAGTCAAGAACATCATCAGGAATACAGGAATAACAGTTTCTAGCACCTAACTCATTGGTTGAAAACTGGTGCCTTCTCCAGATCTACGAGAAATTGCCTTCAGACTTGCCACCCCTTGATTAGGTCTTATGAACAGGTTGATTAGGTTGTTATGAACAGTGAACAGGATTGGTAAATTTTTGGTTATGTTACCTTTTTGTCCAACATTAAGGCATTTGGAATCTCTTTAAAGAATTAGGGAAGAGTCAAGGAGTCAAGGCTTGAATCTTAATGTCCAAGATCAATTGTGAGTTCTGCAGAAATCAAAGACGATTCCCTTGAGAAACACTGGATGAACTTGGCAATGATCGTGTTCTGTTTTATTTGAGGCCAACAAACACAGAGGGTTATAGAACGTTATAATAGCCCATCCTAGTTCTATATACAATGTTTTTGCCGATTCTGATTGCCAAGGGGAATACAAGTACAGTGAATACAAAGTACATTGTTAAGGGGCATGGGCAAGATTGTCCAGTGTGTTGCCTTTAGAGTTAAAAAAGGATATAAAGAAACATTTTGGAATTTTTAAAATTTTAATTATAATAATTTAAGTAATACAAAACCGAAGTAATTAAACATTTGATGCAAAAACTTCATTTAACATTAGCATAACCAATTAAAGGCAGACTTTTGGGTTAAAAAGCTATAAATAAGTATCAAGACAGTCTAACATGATGGAATGAATGATTTCTGCAACTAAATTACATTGTATACTTTGTTGCCTTATTGCACAATGTGTGACATGAGAAGATTTCTACATAGCAAGTCAGCACTGCTTAAAAATAACAAATAACGATAAGATAACATGTAAAACAACAAAGTTATTGTTATTGTTTAGTTAAAAGATTAAGAGCTACCATATGCAATTAATAAATACTTCAATACGGGTAACACATCTACAGTAAATGTTATGATATGATTTCGTTGTACTACGTAACTTTTTTTACATTTTAAATAAAGAATTTTAAATGTTCTAAATTCAAAAAAAGGTTTTATCATACTTTACTCATAAAAAATTTTAAAAAATGTTTCAATTCAATGCATTGGGGTTCACAATACGAAAAGGACTTACAAATGGAACAAACACACAACTAGCTGCAATTTGTTAACTTCAATAAGGAAATAAAATTTACTTAAGTAGTTGATACAAATTGTATTAGAGTAATACAACTATCAGTAAAAACAAAATATAAAATTTGAGTAACATGCTTTACATATTGTGAAAGTAATTTCACAAGTAATTTCCTAATTAATATTCAAACATTGCCAACATAAATATTTTGTGTATCTGAAAAATTGCTTCCTGTTTGTTCTCATATTCATAATTGCCCACCTACTGATCGAATTTCGACTATACCAATAATTTAGAATAAATAAATAAAGTATTATTTATTTTCCTGTCCAATAAACACATAGTTCTTAAAATAGTAATTAGGTAAGTAATTTGAGGAATCTTATTCATACATTGGTTGCAATTTAAATGTCATCAAAAACTTCATTATCGCTCGCTCATTAGGCTAACAAACAATAGCTACGAATCAGTGTCTCTCAGAAAAATATTTTACTTAACGAAAAAATGCAAAAAATCTAAAACATTATTGTGTTAAACCTTTCAAAAGCAAGACTAGAAATATTTAAATCACAACAAACTAAGACGAGTTAACAATATTTACAGAGCAGAATAATCCCGACCGTTAGCACAAAAATATTTATTGCCCTCTTTGCCTTTCGGAAAATACTGTATTGTTTAGAAAAAATATATTCAACGATTGCAAAAATAAATAGTCAACAACAGTTCAACTACGAACTAAAGCCTACTCTATATCACAAGATTCAAGGTAGAGAGGAAGCAGTCTTTGGGAGCGTTCAGTCTTCCGTGGCGTACTGGTGTTCCGCACTTGACATTAGCGTGTGCTGGCGTTCTATGTATATTGCACGAGCATGATTCACTTGTTGAGATACCTAGAAAATTAATAAATTAGTTACGTAAGTAATAAATTAAAGACTACAAAATATAGAACTCTTGAAATTACCTGTTTAGTTTAGTTCTTCATTGAATAACGCTATCAGTACTTTCGGGAGCCTGGAGCTGCAAAGCCATGACTTACATTAAACAAATACCAGACATTGCAAAATTGATCTACAAAGCATTTTTAGTAATATTGGAGAATAAAGAGCCCTTTTTTAAACTGAAGATACGGCTAAGTACGGTGCCAAGCAAAAATGTGTAAAGCGAGGACTAATTATAAACTGCCATTTGCCACTGTGAATGAAAAAATCTGCAACCAATTTAATGAAATTAGGCTTTTCTATAGATAATGTAAATACGTTTTATTACTTAAACCACTTTTGTGGGATGAGACGGAATTGAAATGTACTTTAATCTGAATATGAATGGAAGATGATTTAGTGATGAGTGCAACCCCTTTTGTAGCTTGGTTACTGTATTTAGTCAAAACTGTTTATAGGCCTACAAGGACAGAAACTAACATCTTTCGCTTTTGCTATACAGTTAAGTACGCACTAAAACAAAACTGTTTTTGTAGATGCCCTTTACTTTGTTTGTGAATCATGCAAAATCCAACTCATAACCGTGAATGAAGCGAACCACCTAAATGTTTCAACAACTTTGTTGCAGAAAACTGCAAGACTATCCTGTTTTAAGGATTAAACATGTTTCCAGAGTGCATAACATACATATCTGTGTTGCAAATCCCTGCAGACTGGTAAAAAAGTAGTCCAAGTCCAATATTTTAGGAACACAGAATTTTATCTCTGTTTGCTTGAATATATTCACACCTTGAAAATTAGACTGTGTACTCATAAATATCTTTACAAATAAATCGTGGGGAGGTTGCTGCACAAACTAGAAAAAGGCAAAATCATTATTTATCCTAATCGTCCAGTAGTAGCAGATTATTTAGTTAAATTTGCGTTGTCTAACCCAGGCTGCGATGGTGTTGGTGTCGCACCGCACGCGAGGTCGTTTGACAGGTTCTTGGCTCAGCAAGGCTCCCTCCACACGGATAGCCAGCTCTATGTAGTGCAGTGTGGTCCCTCCCTCGTACAGACTCAGTGGATGACAAGACACCAACTCTCTGGAACAATACACACCCTCAATACAATAACAACAATCCATGACATTTAAACAAATTGTTTATATGTCTTTTGTTAGAATGAAAATATAATATAATAAGGTTTAAGTTGCATATGTTTAAGCACACTGTGCGTTAAGTATGCACTAACGGAATGATCTGTTGTGGTAAAAATCAACTACAGCTTTTAAGTGCTGTCAGAAATGTAGCACATCTTCAGGTTGGAAAGTCTGTGTAATAATTCCTCGTGGTCTGTATACCTGTGACTTTAAGTGTATTCTGTTATATGATTTAAAAGTTTAACCTATTCAACAGCAGCAAACACCACTATGGCATTAACTTCTACAGCATGATTTGTTTCTAGCAACAATATATGGTTACCTGAGATGTACTTGCAGGAACGAGTTGAATGTGTTTCCGCTAAACACTCGCACCATATCGCTTGATATGACGATCCTCAGGTCCTCGCAACCACTGCGTAGAACCTCGTAGGCCATGAACCTGTGACGTTAGTTAACCATGTAATATCATAGAGTTTTAAACATGAATCAACAACAACTACACAATTACACCTTATTCTAGTAAGTTACTTACTCATTAGCAATTTATATCAACGAGGGAATTACACTTTAACAAATAACTTAATATACTTCTTCAGATCTTGTGCTCCTTCACTATTAGCAAGAGATCTTTGTGAATTTCGCTTCGTTTAATCTTCCCATCTCGTGTCCATTGGAAGACGTCCATTGGGTAGTCCTGTCTAAAAGGACGTGATCCAATGCGGAGGAGAAATCCGGATGGCGGAGGATAGAGAAGAGTGGAAGCAGCTAAAATACGAGGCAAAAAATCAGCCGTACTGACGCCGCATCAGTAAAGTAGGCACGTATCTCTTATCCAAGGGTCTTTTTCTTAAGGACGTCTTTCCATATTTGTTTTATCATGGCTTTTCAAATGTCTGATTTTTGCTCAGGAAACAATGTTCTGTGATTGGAATTAGTTCCCTTAATTCTTCACTCTTTATTTTCCTTTGTCCACCTGTTCCTTTAAGTTAGTTGATATACACGGCACTAATAACATTTTTTTGTCTTAAGAAAACTGAATAGACAGTATCTTATTTTTCCATGATATCAAATCAATTAAATTTTTAAATCGCTCATTGCATAACCTTTTTTTACTATTGGATTCGGTGAGAGGTAACTAATGTTATTTACAAGCATCATGTTCTATCCCTATGGTAACTTGCTACAATTAACCTGAGATTGCATATTATACAAAAACAGTTGATCCTGTATAAAACAGAACATTTAATCAATGTATGATCAAATTAATTTTCATCCATTGCACAGCATTAGTATGCCTCAAAAACTTAGAAAATATAATAAAAATAATTAGACAATATATCAATAATCTTTTCCGACAAGTACTCACAGCTCAGTATAGTCGTAGTTGTTGATGGTGTAGAGATACTCCTGTCCTCTGCTCTGTTTCTGGTTGTACAAAGGCATCAGCCCAGTGCCGCTGGTTACACATCGCGGCGGCCTCGTGCGCTCCGGGCTCTTACGATTGGAACTGCGGGAAAACAAAGTTTAAGTTTAAAAAACTATTCTTATGATTGTAACTTATTGTAAAATAAAAGAAAGTGTAATTTTTTAACAATCTTTTAAACTTGAAATTCAAATTCAAATTATCTTTCTAATAAATTTAAACAAATAAATAAATTTTAAACACGAAATTAAAATCTGGCTAGTTTCTCTTGCTAAAGACTTAATTTCATAGTAATTGTTAATTATTTGAACGACTATTATGTTAAAAATACGAAAGATTTGTAAATAACCTGGTGATTCTGACGGCACTAGCAGCTTCTGATGTAAGGTCCAGAAAGCCGATCACAGGTTTGGTTACTGTTCCAACAAGGCCTTTTCCTAGGCCAGAGATGAAACCCTGTGAACAAACCAAACAATAGGATTTAACTTTTCCTGCAGGTAATTCTCAAGTGTTACAAGACTATCACAAGACCAATCCTGCTTTATGAAGCAGAGACATGGATGATAGAAAAACAAACAAAAAAGAAGTTGGTTTCATTTGAAAACATAATTTTGAGAAAAATATTTGGACCTGCTAGAGACGGAGAAGGATGGAGAATTAAGCACATCCAAGAAATAAGAGACATGTACCATTCCCCAGATATAGTAGGAGAAGCAAAGAGCAGAAGACTAAGGTGGGCTGTCCATGGCAGGAGGGAAGATGACAGACTAATTATTAAAGAAGTTTGGAGACAAAACCCGGTAGGAAAAAGACCCCAAGGAAGACCCAAGAATCGATGAAAATTGAGAGCAAGGAAAGAAAATTCAGAGAACAGGGAGAGATGGAGACAACATGTTTGCGAGGCCAAATACCACATTGCGTATCCATGGTCATGGGAGTAGAGTAGAGTAAGTAATTCTCAAGTACAAAAAAGAAAAGTCTCACTATATCAAAACTGCACGAGTCAGAGTGAAAACGAAAACTACTACTGAATATTAATGGATCAGAAAAACTAAAAGGAGCAAACTTACTCTTCTACACTTTTCTTTACATACGAGCGCAACAGTTGAAAATTGGATCAAACATAAAACTGTTGTACGTACAGGTATCCCCTCATTAGCAGCTCCCTCGTAGGTCTGTTTGAAGACGCTGGTGACTCCGCCAAGCACCCCAAACCCAAAGCCACGCAGACCCGCAGCCAAGTGGTCGCGCGAGGTGCCAGCGTGGCCGCGTCGGATGCGCAGCCGCTGCTCCTCATGTTGATCGTCCAATGCAACACGACCCAGTCCGTCGGAAAGCGACTCTGTAATGACAATGACATGAAATACAATTATTCAACTAAATGAAGCTTAGTATAGAGTACATACAAGTTTTGCTCATAGGATTTTTTGTACTCTGATTAAAAACATAAAAAAGGAAGATGAAATATATAACAACCCAGATATTCCATTTTATTTTAACATTGTTTTTTTAATCATTTTAAAGGACAGTTTCTTTCTACAAATTTAATATACAATCCAAATTAGAATTACATTCTAAAATCTAAATTTAAATACATTTTTTTATCTATATGTTTTAGGTTTTACTTTTTCAATAAATCGGTCCTGGAACATTAGAGAGTCTTTATGATCTTTTTGACTATGTAATGGTAATTTATAGTGATACTCCTCACCTGAAACTTTGGCAGCTGAATTTGAAAGACCGTGTGTAACATTTTTGAACAATGCTCCAACATTGCCTTCATAGAAGAGGCCTGTCACCCCCTCAGTCAGATCACTGAAAAATCCCAAAGGGTTTCCCAGGAAGTCTGTAGACCCCAAGATGATAGCTGCTTGCCACATCAGATCCTGAAAGTGAAAATTGTTGAAAATCTGAATCTGTTTGAAACTTAGCCTCTTGAATCTGAACTGATTATATTATGTTCGTATTTTATGTTTTAACTACTATGGAGCTATGTTCTAGTAGTCAAGGTTTAACTACTAATGAGGAACTTAACTGGCATGCAATTTTAACAAGCTTGACAAATTGATGTACTGAACACACCACATTTTCCTTCACAGCTCTGGTCCGTCCTTGTAGTAGGCGATCCAGCTCCATCAACAATATTAGCTTGTAGGATTTCTGCTCATATCAAGCCAGGATCATAATTATGACTGCCGAGAGTAAAAAATAATCCATCTTGCAATGCAGTCAACCAATTCTCAATTAAAAACGCAAAACACAACACAAAACAAACAAAACAACAAAAACTAAGTCTAGATTCAATGCTGAAATTATCAAACTATCACAGTGCAGAGTATGACAATAAATTTGGTATGTACACCAATATACACTGCTCTGGAGGCCACAATGATTAACCTGTATGAATGTTCTGACCAACCTCTTTGTAATGCTTGATGATGGAGCTGAGCAGGAACTGGCTGTTCTCAAAGATGTGGCGCTTGACAAACGGTTCCAGATCAACAGCCGCGTCTTGAAACTTGATCAGGGTCAGGCCGAGCTTGCGTTTGATCACCTTCAGCTGTTCACTCAATTTGTTACTGGTCGACACGCTTAGTCTCACCTACACGTTACGACAAATAAAATGTTTCAACAATCATTAGAGGAACAATCTATACTACAATCAGCCTCCACACTTTCAAGAATGAATAATTCTCGTTCAGGAACAGTTATTATCCCAACCTGTCAAGATATTTTGAGAATACTGCAAACCACCTAAGTCCCCCTTGCAAATTATTTTGACAGAGGTTCAGTTCTGTACACACTTTACGTAAAAGAAAACTATACTCTGTTTTGTTTGTCATCATTACATTAGATGTTATCATACATTATGTTGTAGACAATAATACACACTTGGCAGAAGATGAGCTTGAGAGAGCCGAAGTAGTATCGCTTGGCGTGGGCAGACGTCGCTTCAGCCAGGATTCTCTGAGTTTCAAAGTCACTCTCGTCTGCAGTCTCTTGTTCATCCTGTCCACTGAAGCCAAGGAATGCAAACAACTTCAGCAACAGACGCTCCTCAACGTTGAGAGACATGTTCTTCATACGAACAACCAAGTGCTGCAACAGTGACAGGTAAATAAACATTTGCTTGAGACCTCAAATTTTATGTCAGCTGAATTTATGCTTATGATTTATAAACTTATTTTAGGTTATATTGGAATCAGGTTAATTTGGAATTCCACTGATTAGTCTTAGCATTATGCAAAAGGAAAAATATGAATTTTGGGATGCTTACGAGACAAAGTAACTTAAAATTCATCCTTAAGCAAGACATTTGGAATGAAAAAATGAATTGATAAACTTTTACTAATTTAAAATTTGTTGCAACTATTCATGTACATTGGTTGGGAACTTTTCTAAACTTATTTAATCACGAAGAATCAAGTACTTTGTTCACTGCTGTAGAGGAATGAGAAACAATAAATAACAAACTAACATTCTTTTTTTCATAGTGATGATCAGTCTTCCTTCCTAAAGCAAACCAAATTCATCCCGACCTGATGTTGGCCTGATGCCCTGATACCATAGACAAAAAGAATGAAATATAGACCGTCAGCTGTGCTGCGGTTACCATAGGTTCTGGCGCACACCGCTGGGATCGCCACGGTATTTACAGCGTACGCGCTACGTAAACTACAGCGGTGTGCGCCGGAACTTATGGTAACCATGGTAACCGCAGCACGGCTGACAGTCTATATTTCATCCTTTTTGTCTATGCTGATACCCAACAGTCAAAATGTCTGACCCAAATAGAAGTATGTGTGGCTTGTAGAACACCAAAAAATATCACAGCTTCTAAAGGCATAGTCTGATTCCAGTTAAAGTTAAACCTATCTACAGGAGTTTAACAAATATCTAAACTACCAAACGGATGGTTGGATTGGCGACTATTTACTAACAAGATGAGGACATAGTGAATGTTGCAACCACAAAAAAATTTGAATTTGTACCATACTATTTCTTATTGTGTTTTTCTGGTTGTCTGTCATTACATCCCATAATAAGTAACGAATGGCCACCTACACTTTAAATGTAAAACAAAAATAGAATAACCTTGACAATCTCCGCGTTGCTAGTGTGTCTCCGAGGCACTCTTTCCCCTGTTATCTGCAAAGCTGGTCTGGCCACCTCCTCTGGGTCTGTGGAGCGTGAGGGAGGAGTGACATGCAGCACTACTGGACACTGTGCCTTGAACAGCTGATTGTCTACCTGCAGTCACACAACAACACACACATAGACAATACTGCAGAACTTTACTAGCCACCTTTTCATCAGCTGATTGACATTCAGTTAAAACATTATTGATATTTTAAAAAAATCTTTAAAAAAGTTGGCGGTATAGAAAATTATAGTGGTAATTGAAATATAGATTTTAGTCAAATCATGAAAGAACAAGGTATAGGGGCTGAACGGTATGATAATTATGTCTTATCTAAAGTGTAGGACATCTTCAGAAAGGAGATAGTAGTACCTACACCAGAGTTCCGCTCATCCAAACTAATTGGTACCAGGCCCTATTTGGTGGAGCAAAATTTTCAGATTAGCTGGAAATCCAGTCAAATTGAATTTAAAAATGTATTTTTATGACTGTAAATGGTCATATGTTGCTCTGGCAGTAACGTAAACAATGAGATTGTCTCTTACGATTATCTCTTTGAATTGCAGAAATATTTGTGATTAAAAACCAGGAACTTGGCAACACCCTGAGGTAATTTCCTATGGTTGCATTCTTCTTATTGCACGAGGATCTTAATAGAGAATCAATGGAACGTTGTTATTGAAAAAAATGCTCAGCCATAGGCTTTTGCAGATTATTCCAATTCATCCGGTCATAAAAAATTTAAGTATAATTTCTCTTTTGCCCAGTTTGCTACATAAGCTACCCTGATTGTACTTCAAAACAAAGTTTTGTTTGAATTGAAATTCAGAAAGTGTTACACTGTAGACAAAAGAATAAAAAGATCAATGTTGTTCATTGTTTCTATTTTAAATATAATTTATCCCTTGAACTTAGATATTCTCTCAAGTAAACTAGGCAGACTATACCCTTACCAAGTAGCCTATGTATACCACAAAATCACCTCAATCATGAACACTTACTGAGGTTACTATGCGGATGTTTCACCACAATAAACAGGAATTCCACTTGGTCATCAGTAAAAATATTCACTAGTGGTTCCTATGAACCTCACCTTTATGCATGACCATTCTATTGAAATCACAAACCTGAATATCCTGCACACAGGCGTCCAACATCTCCGCCTCATGAGTCCACATAGCACTGAGCCTTATCTGACTGAGCTTGATGTATACCAACTCCTCCGGCGGTTGTCTAGACACAAGACTGACTCCGATACAAGGCAACTCCACGTTCAGCTGGAACTCCTTGTTGTCCTTGGGAGCTAGCAGAGCTGTGTCGTCTGTCAGCAGAGCCGCTGGTCTGTGATTGGTCGACACATTCACCCAATCACTCTCCTCCAGTACCGCCACCATCCTCTGTAAGATCAGATAGTGTCTTACAGTTGGGATTTTACTTACTGAAGTGGCCACTTGTACCCTAGTAGGTACTTCATCAACACAGCCTCTCTAATAAGTTCAGACCACACCATCTTCTTTGTTAAGGACTCTTACCACATATCTCTGAGCGCCATATACAATTTTCTGTTATTGCTAGTATGGCAGAAATACAGCTAAATAGATTTAACAGGGCATTGTTTCAAATACCTGCAACATCAGTGAAATGCCTACAAATTTTGCTTTATATGAAACTACAAAAAGATCCTCCTTTTAATTCAAAAGATACAAGAACAGGTATGTATAATTCATACTTTGTGAACTCGCTACATGAGCTAAACGACTGATAAAAAACACATCTGAGACACTTACCGAGTCCTTGACGTCCGTGACTTGCAACACTCTCGTAGGTCCGTCAGTGAGCACTTTGACTGTGAGATATCCAGAGCCTGGCCTCAGTCTTTGTCTGTGAAACAAATACAAATTGGTGAGAACCAACTGAAATGTTAAAAATGCTTTGACAACAATCTCTTTTATATACACTTGACAAACTATTCACAATAGAAGAGGAAAGATAAAATGATATTACTAATCTTTAAAACTCATAGTTTGTACTTTATCCAAATAAGGCTGGTATGATCCACTAAAGTTTTTTAGTTTATTCTGAAGTAGAAATCGTCCTCTCAATAAAATTGCTTTCTGAGAATAATAATACCTGTAAAGGATTGATAGCTTTTCTGAATTAACTTTTGACCATTTGGTTGTATAAACTTTGCACCTTGTACAAAATGGAGCCTCTTATTTTATAGATGAACCTTTTATTAATAACAAAATAATTGCTTCATTGGCTTAAGATTCCTATGTTAATATAAGATATGAGAAGAGAAGAACATTTATTTTTACTTTGGTGATTGCTGTTGTGACATGCAATGTTATTTACCTTGAAACAAGCTGTTCCAGAGGTACTGATCCATCTGGCAACGTAGAGCTGCGACCTAGCACCACCTCACTCCCTGCGAACAAAACTCTCATGTATACAGAGACTACATACTCATATACCAGGAACCAGGATCTAGTTATAAATAATGTCAGTTATACAAGTTTGAATTATATCTTCTACGAAGACAGTGAACTGTCACTGTTGAAGTCAGGAAAAGATATACCCATTATTCCTGAATCATAAGATAAAAATGTGCTGAGAAAATATAAACAAAAATACATCAGGGAAATCAGATTTATTTGTTGTGGTAACTTTTTTTTATCCTACAGCTGTAAAATAGTTCACTGTTAAAATAACTTTCCATTTGGTAATCTATTGAAATATTAACCTGCTTATTCCAAATATGACCTAAAAGAAGGATGTGTCTGAAAGTACAGGATAATGAAAGGAAGTAAGTGTGGTAGTGTTGATTATATTTAGAAAGAGGGATGTGAAGTGACATACTGCTAAAGGAAAATTGTAGTTATAAGCAAGGAAATAAAGGGGGGATATAAGAATTACTTAATAAAAAAACGCTAATAGAAAATAAAAACAGTAAATAGAACGGTTTGCCGCTGAAAAAGTAAAAATACAAAAACAAATCACAAACATAGAAGAAACATCATAACATGATTAAAAGTGCACATAGAAAGAAACACACACAAACACACATTTGATTTACACTTTTTGAAACAAAGTACAGTAGAAAATAATAAAAAAATACATGCAAACTGAAATTGAATAGAAGGGAAAGAGAAAATAATTAGAACATTACATACACATCTGCCACGCAACTCCTCGAGATTCTCCTGCCAACATACTTCATACATTCAGACTAACATGGTTAATTTTGATCAAAAATCCTACAAGGAGAATATGATATTTCAGTAAAATAAAATTAACAAAGGAGGAATGCACCAGTACCAAGTTTTACAAGACAGCAAGTAAAATTGTATAGAATATGTCTTTTGAATAAATAATTTGTGGTGTGTCTAAGATGACTCTTGAATGATTTTGTAAGCTGTTTTTGAGATTTGAATATAACATCTCATATTTTTTATTCTAACCCGCTGTTATTTGCTTTGTTCGTAAAAGGTAGAAAATAAACCAAAATCTGAATGTTCAAGTTCAAATAGTGTAGAAATGTGCTTTTTGTTTACCCAATTTTTTCAGTTACCAGGCAAGATAACAAATTTGGAGATCGTTTGAAGACTACATTCTAGAAATAATCAAACAACTGTTGAAAATAATGACTTGTAGCCAAGATCACAAAGATTATCATAGATGTGACTGCAAACACAATTACTTAAAAATACAATTACTATTTTAGTCAAATTGATTCAAAACCAAAATATAGTAATAGTAGGAGTTGAGTTACCACAACAGATTCTATATTGTTTTTCAATTACAATTACAATTATACTTTGATTCAATATCCTAGACTTGATATTCAGGATTCGGATTAGGGATATCAAAATCCTGAATTTTACCCTTTCTTAGTTAGCACTGCAGTTTACCACTTTTATTTTCCTACTTTATAAGTGGATCAAAGTACTGTACTATGAAAATTTAAATACTTATCCACTGCACATTTTTAGTACCTAATGAAAGAAATATTTCAGATTAGATCAAATTAGATTTGTACAAAACCAAAATACTCTAAGGTGAAGAATAAGAAGAACAAGTAAAGAATGAGTGAAGAATGAGAGTTGAATGAATGATATAGCAGCTTTAACTGAAATCAGCTGGTTCTTTGTCCCGGATCATTTTATAAACCTAATGATTTATAGCAGCTGGGTTTATTATTGGACCATTAACAAGATTCAGATTTTTCTCTGGGTCACTTTTACCCTGGATTTTCCAGTTATACTCCCATAGAAATTAAATAAGTTGGCAATAAGTACATAAGTCAACAGCATGACACCCATGTTGGGGGAGGAAAAAACAAGGTCAAGAAAGACTGCATACCTTGTCTAAGACCAAAGAAGCCGTCCTTAGCCTGGACACACATGTTGTTATGTACACAGCAGAGACGGCCGTCGTCAGTGAACCGCCAGGTCTGGGTAGACTTGCGCCGCTTGTCCGGCCGGCGCAGCACCAGGCTGACGTAGTGAGAGGGCTGCGGCGCCGGACCCGAGATGTCCAGAACCTGACACCAGGACGAGAATCAATTATGTTGCAAAGCCAAATAGGGGTTCTGTCAGGACCAAATCTAGGATTTTGTTTAAGGGATATTGGAGACATTTTCCATCTCTAATGGTAAAAAACAAAGTTTCAAGACCAAGAGTCTGACGGGGGCGAAAGTATTTAAAAAATAACAAGAGTAGTACAAAACCCTGAAAAAGCTGACAAATCACCATCTTGAATCTGGGAGCAATTGTCTTGGGTATATTTATTCATGGTGTGTTGTTGTGAAATAAAATATGTTGATAGCATCTGCTACATACCAGTATCTTGTCTGGAGGTGCCCGGGGTGGACTGGAGCCCTCGTGCTGTAGCTGTCCTTCCCCTGTCATCCTCCACAGCTGAGACCGTGCTCCGTGCTGCTTGCGAGACAACACCACACAGCTCGACCCGTCTGGCACCTCCAGTACCAGCTGTTGACACTGTACGTCCAGCGGGTCCACTGTGTCTCCCACACTACATCAGACAACACCAGATATATCACACAAACATCCAAACATTTAAAGATAGGCTATACAACTGGCTTGTTGAACATCCTTTTTATGTGATTAGTTTATCTAGTATATTCTCCACCCAGCCTACAGCCTTCTTTTTACTTTTAAACTTTTAAATTTTTACCTGTTATTGTCTGTGATATTAGCTTATTAATCTAGATTGACTGGGTTACTGTGTAACCCTATTTTACCATAATATGTGACTATGTCTATTGCAAGATTGTTTTGCTTAATGACAATAAAGGATTTCTGATTTCTGATTTCTGATCCACAGCTGAGAGCGTGCTCCGTGCTGCTTGCGAGACAACAACACACAGTTCGACCCGTCCGGCACCTCCAGTACCAGCTGTTGACACTGTACGTCCAGCGGGTCCACTGTGTCTCCCACACTACATCAGACAACACCAGATATATCACACAAACATTCACAGCTGAGACCGTGCTCCGTGCTGCTTGCGAGACAACAACACACAGCTCGAACCGTCCGGCACCTCCAGTACCAGCTGTTGACACTGTACGTCCAGCGGGTCCACTGTGTCTCCCACACTACATCAGACAACACCAGATATATCACACAAACATTCACAGCTGAGACCGTGCTCCGTGCTGCTTGCGAGACAACAACACACAGCTCGACCCGTCCGGCACCTCCAGTACCAGCTGTTAACACTGTACGTCCAGCGGGTCCACTGTGTCTCCAACACTACATCAGACAACACCAGATATATCACACAAACATTCACAGCTGAGACCGTGCTCCGTGCTGCTTGCGAGACAACACCACACAGCTCGACCCGTCCGGCACCTCCAGTACCAGCTGTTGACACTGTACGTCCAGCGGGTCCACTGTGTCTCCCACACTACATCAGACAACACCAGATATATCACACAAACATTCACAGCTGAGACCGTGCTCTGTGCTGCTTGCGAGACAACAACACACATCTCGACCCATCCGGCACCTCCAGTACCAGCTGTTGACACTGTACGTCCAGCGGGTCTACTGTGTCTCCCACACTACATCAAACAACATCAGATATATCACACAAACATTCACAGCTGAGACCGTGCTCCGTGCTGCTTGCGAGACAACACCACACAGCTCGACCCGTCCGGCACCTCCAGTACCAGCTGTTGACACTGTACGTCCAGCGGGTCTACTGTGTCTCCCACACTACATCAGACAACACCAGATATATCACACAAACATTCACAGCTGAGACCGTGCTCCGTGCTGCTTGCGAGACAACACCACACAGCTCGACCCGTCCGGCACCACCAGTACCAGCTGTTGACACTGTACGTCCAGCGGGTCCACTGTGTCTCCCACACTACATCAGACAACACCAGATATATCACACAAACATTCACAGCTGAGACCGTGCTCCGTGCTGCTTGCGAGACAACACCACACAGCTCGACCTGTCCGGCACCTCCAGTACCAGCTGTTGACACTGTACGTCCAGCGGGTCTACTGTGTCTCCCACACTACATCAGACAACATCAGATATGTCACACAAACATTCACAGCTGAGACCGTGCTCCGTGCTGCTTGCGAGACAACAACACACAGCTGTTGACACTGTACGTCCAGCGGGTCTACTGTAACTCCCACACTACATCAAACAACACCAGATATATCACACAAACATTCACAGTTGAGAGCGTGCTCCGTGCTGCTTGCGAGACAACAACACACAGCTGTTGACACTGTACGTCCAGCGGGTCTACTGTGTCTCCCACACTACATCAGACAACATCAGATATATCACACAAACATTCACAGCTGAGACCGTGCTCCGTGCTGCTTGCGAGACAACAACACACAGCTGTTGACACTGTACGTCCAGCGGGTCTACTGTGTCTCCCACACTACATCAAACAACACCAGATATATCACACAAACATTCACAGCTGAGAGCGTGCTCCGTGCTTTTTGCGAGACAACAACACACAGCTGTTGACACTGTACGTCCAGCGGGTCTACTGTGTCTCCCACACTACATCAAACAACATCAGATATATCACACAAACATTCACAGCTGAGACCGTGCTCCGTGCTGCTTGAGAGACAACACCACACAGTTGTTGACACTGTACGTCCAGCGGGTCTACTGTGTCTCCCACACTACATCAAACAACACCAGATATATCACACAAACATTCACAGCTGAGAGCGTGCTCCGTGCTGCTTGCGAGACAACAACACACAGCTGTTGACACTGTACGTCCAGCGGGTCTACTGTGTCTCCCACACTACATCAAACAACACCAGATATATCACACAAACATTCACAGCTGAGAGCGTGCTCCGTGCTGCTTGAGAGACAACAACACACAGCTGTTGACACTGTACGTCCAGCGGGTCTACTGTGTCTCCACACTACATCAAACAACACCAGATATATCACACAAACATTCACAGCTGAGAGCGTGCTCCGTGCTGCTTGCGAGACAACAACACACAACTGTTGACACTGTACGTCCAGCGGGTCCACTGTGTCTCCCACACTACATCAGACAACACCAGATATATAACACAAACATTCACAGCTGAGAGCGTGTTCTGTGCTGCTTGAGAGACAACACCACACAGTTGTTGACACTGTAAGTCCAGCGGGTCCACTGTGTCTCCCACACTACATCAGACAACACCAGATATATAACACAAACATTCACAGCTGAGAGCGTGTTCTGTGCTGCTTGAGAGACAACACCACACAGTTGTTGACACTGTAAGTCCAGCGGGTCCACTGTGTCTCCCACACTACATCAGACAACACCAGATATATAACACAAACATTCACAGCTGAGAGCGTGTTCTGTGCTGCTTGAGAGACAACACCACACAGTTGTTGACACTGTAAGTCCAGCGGGTCCACTGTGTCTCCCACACTACATCAGACAACACCAGATATATAACACAAACATTCACAGCTGAGAGCGTGTTCTGTGCTGCTTGAGAGACAACACCACACAGTTGTTGAAACTGTAAGTCCAGCGGGTCCACTGTGTCTCCCACACTACATCAGACAACACCAGATATATAACACAAACATTCACAGCTGAGAGCGTGTTCTGTGCTGCTTGCGAGACAACACCACACAGTTGTTGACACTGTACGTCCAGCGGGTCCACTGTGTCTCCCACACTACATCAGACAACATCAGATATATAACAAGCTCAAAGCTGTGAACTAGACCATTACAGGTAGACAAAGGTCATTACAGTAATTGCAGCTGAACGTGAAGAGTTCAATCTTTCAATAATAATTAATGGAATATGGAATGTTGTTAGGACATCTGTATTGCTGTAGGCCAAATCAACTGTAACAAATCATTAGAAAGGAGATTTACTGGAATAAAAATTGTTATGCCAACAAATTATCAATGTACTTCTCAAAATTCTTCCTTAATTACCTTAACTAAATATTTGTAATATTGACCACAGGCATGAATTGGACATGAATAGGTCACTAAGAAGAATCTAGTGCTGACAAATTTCACATGTTTTTGTTTGAAACTAACAGGCTCCAATCTTTGTTATCTGAGGTTTCTAAAGGTGTCAGATTTTAAATGTATGGACTGAGTATGAATTAATTTATGTCTGAAATGTATAGTTTAGGGATGGTAAACAATTACCTTATGACACAATACTCTATAGCATTTCCACACAAGTCCATCAACATCATAACCTTAACTTCAACTCATCTATTTTACATCTTAAAATTTACCTCTTGAATGTGCCAGTGAAGGTGATGTATATGAAGTTCTCGTAAGTCAGGCCGGGTCCCTCGCCCAGCTTGTTGATGTCGTAATTCGCACTGACACCACCAGGTGCCACCACTGTTAACTTCTGAGGCTTGGTCGGCTCGTCAAATGCATAAGGGACAGAACAGTGGGGTCGCACTGAGCTCATGGCTTGTACCCCAGTCTGGCAAATAAAATTCAAAAATTTTGAGTTTCAATTGGTATATGTAGGTATCTATTTGTTTATGATGCAAAGTTTACCAAACTGACTGGGTTTAAATTGTACACAATGGTAGATCATGTAGGCCTCCTAGACAAGTAGACATATTGATGTAAAAAAAAAAAACTCCCTTGGTCAACGCTTGTGAACATCTGGTTTTGTTAATTGAAACCCATTATTTTCTTCTTGCAAATCCCCTGTTGTGAAGCACATGTAAAGCAACTAGTTTACATTTAATTTTTTATGTAAACAAAAAACATATTATTTTCAATCAATTCTTAGATATTAAGAGGGCGCAATTTTACCTGAGAGAATGACACTGCGACTTGAGAGAAGTTGTCTATCCGTATAGGAGCTGGCATGGACACAGCATCAGTCAACACAATGAAATACGTGGCTCTCTGTAGTACGATCTCAGCTCGGAGGAAGTACATACGACCACTGGAGTCCCTACAATGTATTTTCAATATTTACTCAACTTTGCTTTTTTGATAAGGCTTATTTTGGAGCAATAAGAGAAGGGGACACAAGGAAAATAAAACAGAATAAAAAAATTGGAAATCTCCTTAGGGAAGTGACCATGAGGCAGGCTATAAAATATCTTAAGAGATGATGTAAAAAAGACATGACCAAGATGAGAATGACCTAAGATCCATCTTGGGTTTAGATCGCCTTGCATGGGAGTCCATAAAAATGGGCAGGGGACAGGGCTCGAGCCACTCTAATGACACCCCACATTAACCACATTTTTCAGATTTTGCAGTAAAATTATCTTCATGTTGTTTCTTGTCTCAGGATTACTGTTTTTAGATTATAAAAGGTATAATGTTACCTGGATCTGCCAGAGTAATCCAAAGACTGTCTGTCGAGACTACGCGTTTCGAAGCATTAATAGCTTCATCATCAGGTCTTCAAGAACACTTATCACTCATCAGAGGTCCTCAAATAAATATAATTTTTACAAACATACATACAAAAAATAGTAGGCCTACGAACCACGTGCGCGCACTTAGACAGGTTTGTCATGACTGCAGCGGTGAAGGTTGGTGTCGTGAACTTTGTCCCTTGCCGGTCAGCTGTTCCTGGTTAGCTATTACAGTATCATACAATGCATTTGACTGGAAATTTAGTTTGTCGTTTAATAGATCATAACTATGGCTTTTTGTTGCTTCGTATATCTCGTATTCTTCTATGGCGTTCATGAAGCTTCCTTTTGTGCAAAAATGTAGGGGTGTCATGTTTGTTTCGAAATTTGTATAGTTATGATTTTCATTAATCAGATGGGCTGCATAATTGGATTTTAAATGATTTTTTGCTTTTGGAAGGAGTTCTTTGAATCTGGTTTTGAAAGCACGGCCGGTTTGTCCTATATAAAAACTATTGCAATCATCACAAGATAATCTGTAAACTCCAGTTTTTTCCTCCGTTTCTAGATTATTACTGGACGCTTTAGAATCGTTGTAGTTTGATGGAAGTCCTAAACGCTATCCCAATGTTTTTCTTTTTTAATTCGTTTTTCAGTATATTCGGTAGCCTTGTACCATACTCTGATGTTACAAAAATTTTGTCAATTGGGCTATCTAATCTGTTATCATTGGCTTTTTTCTTTAATTGTTTTTTGATAAGTTTATCAATCATGGCGGTTTTAAACCCATTTCTTTGGGCAATGTATTTGATCGTGTTTAATTCTTTGTTAAAATTATCTTGGCTCAATGGGACGGTGAGCAACTGGTGAACAAAACTGTTTTATGCTGCCATTTTTTGTTTTGTAGGATGGTGTGAAGTTTTATGTATGGTTGTGTCGGTTAGCGTAGGTTTTCTATAAATATCAAATTCAATTGAGTTTTCTGTTTTAATTGATGTTATATCAAGAAAGTTTAACCTGTCGTTGCTTTCCAATTCTATGGTAAACTGTAGGCTAGGGTTTATTTTATTTATATACTTAGTAAATATCTCTAGTTGTCTTACGTTGCCATCATACAGGATTGCGATGTCATCAACATAACGGTGGTAAAATACAATCTTATCTTTGTAGCGGTTGTTATCAGACCATATTTTTTTGTTATTGTTTTCGAAACTGTTCAAATATATTTCAGCTAGGATTCCTGAAAGTGACGATCCCATTGCTAATCCATCGTTTTGTATATAATATTCATTGTTAAAAGTGAACTAGTTCTGTTGGGTTACTATTTTTGTTAATGCGATGAGTTCATTAATGGCTTCCTCACTAAGATTAGAATTGCTCTTTAGATTGTCTTCTAGCAGTGGCGTATCCAGGGAAGGGGCCCAAGGGGGCCGGGCCCCCCCCGAATTTTTTTTTTTTTAGTTACCCTGTACACACGGCACACGGGAGCGTTGCAATGCGCGTTCTAGAAACACTCAAATGAGTGCGTACACACTACACAATACGTGTTGTTATTATATAAAATGCCGGATTACTGGAATGTTATCAATAAAAACACTTAAAATGCAATTAAAACACGTCTCCGAAGATCGCGCGATCGGAAACCGCTATTGCCACGATCGGGCGTGACGACGATGACGTTTCCGTAATCGAGGGAAACGATGATAACGTGTACGGCCGCGGGAGATGTTCGTGATTTTGACGCGATCGCGCATGACGACGATGACGTTTCCGTGACCGTGGGAGATGTTTATGATTTTGCCGCGATCGCGCAAGTCGACGATGACGTTTCTGTGACTGCGGGAGTAGACAATGATGTTTACATGGCCGCGGGAAATGATAAAATCTTCGCCGCGACCGTGAAAGACCACGATAATGTCTACATGACCGCGGGAGATGTTCATGATTTTTCCGCGATCACACAAGACGACGATGGCGTTTCCGTAACCGCGGGAGGCGATGATAACGTCTATACGTCCGCGGGAGATGTTCATGATATTGCCGCGATCGTGCAAGACGACGATGACGTTTTCATGACCGCGGGAGAGAATGATGATATCTACACGGCCGCGGGAGATAATCAGCATTTTGCCGCGACCGCGGAAGACCTCCCGCCAAAAGACGCCGGATTACTGGAGTGCCGGAGTGGTACAGTGCCGTTTATATAGGGTCTTCTGTACAATATTTTATAATTAAAAAAATGACGGCAGCTGGTACATATAGTGTCTACTTCAGTATCCAATAGTCATTGCGTGTACATTACATATTTTTGGTCGAGTTTTCGATCACTGGACGACCATTAGTATGCTTTATTCTATAAGTTGAGTGCAGTTTTATTAGCTTGATTTATTTTATTAAAATTACGTCACGCAGATTAATAGTAGTTTAGGCAACTTGTTTAGATTTCAGAACAGTAAAAAACTAATTTTTAGTAGTAATACACCAATATTATTCTCTACTTTAGAGCCTCCAGAGGTGTTGTAAACTGCAATTTATCACCATAAAAAACTAAAATTCCCCCCCCCCCTTCAGTACTGGGGGGTATTCCATGCCCCCCAGACCCCCCCGGATCGGGCCCCCCCCAAAGCAGAATCCTGGCTACGCCACTGTCTTCTAGGATATTGATTGTATATGCCATGGATACATTTGTGTATAAATTAACTATGTCCAGCGATGCCAGTGTATATCTAGGTTTGATTTCAGTGGTACTAGTTTTGTGAATTAAATCAATACTGTAAATTAGGCTATGACTGTTAGTTAAAATAATTTGTTGCTTAATTATCCTTTCTAGGCTTTTAGCGACTTGGTAGCTGGGTGCTGGCATGTAATTCACTAGAGGGGGTTATGATTAATGAAAATCATAACTATACAAATTTCAAAACAAACATGACACCCCTACATTTTTGCACAAAAGGAAGCTTCATGAACGCCATAGAAGAATACGAGATATACAAAGCAACAAAAAGCCATAGTTATGATCTATTAAACGACAAACTAAATTTCCAGTCAAATGCATTGTATGATACTGTAATAGCTAACCAGGAACAGCTGACCGGCAAGGGACAAAGTTCACGACACCAACCTTCACCGCTGCAGTCATGACAAACCTGTCTAAGTGCGCGCACGCGGTTCGTAGGCCTATTATTTTTCGTATGTATGTTTGTAAAAATTATATTTATTTGACGACCTCTGATGAGTGATAAGTGTTCTTGAAGACCTGATGATGAAGCTATTAATGCTTCGAAACACGTAGTCTCGACAGACAGCCTTTGGATTACTCTGGCAGATCCAGGTAACATTATACCTTTTATAATCTAAAGTAAAATTATGTAAAAACCAATCATTTGGAAATAAATTTAGGTACAAAAATGCATTAAATAAACCATTTTGCACAGTACCTAATTTGTTTTATAAAGTTCCAGGGGGGGAAACCTCGGACACCCCTCTTTATTGTTAGGGGGGGGGGGAATTATTAACCCCTGGCCTCCTTTTCAAAAAAAAAACTGGATGGACGCTCATGTGGCCACGAGAGTAAGAGTAATTAAATGGACTTTATTATTTATGAAAACACATGGAATTTTGTACGAGAGTAAAAATTATTGATCTCAGAAAAACTAGTTGTAAAATAATTAAATTTGGTCAGATTGGTCAACCAATAATTATCAAATTGGTTTGATGAAGGATTTAACTCAAAAATAACATTTTTGTCAGCTACATTTTTCTCACAATAAAATGTTTATTCATATTTGTAAAGCAATATTTGTTTGTAGGATTGTTATAGGTTGTAGAAGGATTTAGTCTCATTAAAAAAAACAAAAAATCAAATACGTTGATAGAAGGTAAGACAAATAATTGAAACAAGTTGATAGAAAGACTAAACTTAAAACCCCTTTTCCCATCTAGTTTCTCATAGTTATATCAACACGCAAAGATTCAGGATGCTTAGTTGTACAGTACATTTCTCATCAATTTACTTCAAATACAAGAAACAGAAACACAACAGCAATTAATTGTGTTATGTAATGATAGAGATTATTACCTGACGTTGATGTGTAGAGAGTTGTTGTTGTCAATCATGAAGCCCCCAGACCAGTGACACTGAGGTACATCCATCAGTCTCAGACACAACAGAAGGTCCTTGTCCAGCCTAGGCCAGTGGAAGGCCAGAGAGCAATCAGGTACAGCGGACAGGTAAGTGGCTTGGGCACCCGGGTCACTCTAAAAAGTTTACATTAGAATGAATTCAGTTTATTAATATTAAGCAAAGAAATAAATATTTGAAGAATCCGTAATTCAGTGAGTATTTAAAATTGGTAACTCAGTGGAAGCGTACGGAAGGTAACTCAGTGAAACCAATCTAGCAATGTTGTGTTTTAAGGAAGAGCAGCAATATTCTTCAAAATACCCAAAATGGAAACAAAAGTTGTACATTGGGCGTTACAAATATCTAGTTAACAAGTTTAGGGAACCAAAGAAGAGGAACCTCTCTCAAATCTACCACAAAATAATTGTCTCACAAGGTATACTCAAGCAAAGTTTACGATCTACCACTTACCACTGTAGTGGCAAAGCACAGTTGTGCAAACTGTATCCGGTAGCTGCTCTTGTTGTGTATCTGGTAGTGTGCGGAAAGTGTGACGATGTTGGTACACCTGTAGCGGCCGCGGCCGGGCCGGATGTCAATACCTATCATGTACACCAGGTCTGGCCGGTTGTCCCACAGTGTCACCCTGAGGCGGCGGACCTGCACACCTGGGTGTAGCCGGAAATGTTGGCACCACTGTAAATGATATTCTGAATGAACATTGATCAAGAAATTATTATTGGGGAGTAGTTCAGTGTCTTGAATGTAGTAATTACTAGGAAAAGAAAGATAAGAGGATAAACTTACTTATTTGCCAAACATGGTGGATCAGTAAAAGTGTCATGGGCTGAAAGGACAGACATTTTGTGTTTGAGACTGGCTGCACAATCTTAGCTCTGCAGCTCACCACTGTCCTGTCCATGAGGCAAATACAGCAACTGTCTCCAAATCACCACACATACAAGATGTTTAGAGTGACAGGCAGTTTGGGTTTTACAACCCTGGACTTAAGGATGGACACAATAAAGGATTCATACATTCTTTAGAACTCTCTGTTCAGTAGATGTAGTTATCCCCCATTTCCTAAAAGTAAATTGTAAAGCTTAATATGTACTTTATTTAATAAATAATAAAAAAATTCACTTTAGGATTTATTTCTGTATCTGCCATCTGGCGTAAGGGAAATGAGTCTTACTACAGGTCTACCTAGTTTCACAAAACCAACAATAATAATTAACAATAAATGAGTTGCAGAATTATATTAACAGAAACCTGTGTATGGACATAATACATCAAACATTAGTTACCTGGGGTGTTCCTTCAGGATGCACTTTGCTGCCAACTCTGGCCACCACTGTGGGACTTGCGTCTTGGTCCACAAACGAGAACAACAGAGGGGCGACCATACGAGCAACCTGTAATTATATCATACACTCTGTATAATTCTCTGAATATTGATTTTTTTAAATAGCAAAAATGCAAAAAGATTCAAAGCACAACAAACAATGTTTTGCCATTGATTATTTCTCTATTTAATTACTGCAATTTAATTTCAATTTAATTTAAAGAATTTAACAACTTTAAGCACAAGATAGGCTTCCATGGTTAAAGTGGACTGTCCAGCAATCCATTTTTGGAATAAGCTACAGTTAAACTATTGTTCAGTTGAAATTCTAAATGTTTTACAGTATTTTCATCTGTACAACAAAACAACACGGTCATCTTTGGAATACTAAGACGTAATAAACCAACTTTCTCCCTTACTAAATCTTATAAAAGCAATATCTTAGCACAAATAATCGTTTTAAAACATTTTGAATATATGTCAAACTCACTTGAAAAAAAATGTAAAATGCATTACTCTTTTATTATATCCTCTCTCTTCTATCTATTCTCTTTCCTTTTATTTCTCTTTTATTTATTTTTGATATTTGTGTATTAATCTAGACAGTCACATTTTCCAACAAATAATTTTACATAGTTAGAGAATGAGCTAGTTAAAGTAGTATTAATTGGTTGTAAATAAAGTAAACAACACACACCTCGTGTTCCTCATATTGGCCGGCAGTCTCTGTAGCAACTCCTTCCTGTCTAAACACCAGCGGCAGCCCAGTCTTGTTGACCAACCAGAACATGGCGGAGATAGTCACCTGAATCAAGCAGCGTGGTCAAACACCAGGGACAAGGTGTATTTCACTAAGTACTATTTTAAAATTCAATCATACTATTTTATTGAGATGAATGTTATACAAGTCCCGAAGCTACCATTTAAGTCTGGCAGGTTTTAAAATACAACTAGGTGAACCCGTGCGAATTCGCACGAGTAATAAGTTAGGATATTATAGCATCGTCGTAGAAGTTGCGTCGTTATATCGACGATGGTCTTGAGCTCGATCGTTGGCTATATGCATTCTAAGTTCTTTTTGCTGTTCAGTAGGAGTATTTTGCAGAATGGAGCTCATCATGCTGAAAACTTGCGGTATGGATTAATATCAACCAAATGTTGAGTCAAAATGTGCATGAGTTCAGTGCTGCAAGAGCCATTAGCTTTGTTTGTCATTCTTTCTTGAACAGCGGTTTCGACGTCGTATATATAAATTTGGGCATATGTTGGATGCTCCCCTTCTGACAGTTGAAATGTGCCAATTGAGTGATAAATTTTATCGTGCACCTTCTTATACAGAAATGCCTCAACCGTTATGTTCTTCAATTTTAGGTCGATTGCTGACCATTGCGAGCGCCGAGTTGTACGATATAATGTTCTCTCTGTAGTTTCTGCTCAAATGATTTGTAGGCTCTGGATATAATAGATTTATCGGGATGGTGGTAGATTCACTTTTCATTTATGGCAGCAGGATGAAAATCCTTCGCCTCGTCCTATTTGTTCTTCTTTAAAATGTAGCGCACCTCATTTCTGATATTTCAACGCCATCTCGCCAAGTGAATGCTGCTGAATTCTTGTACTGTATTTGTCAGTGTAATTTGTAAGTACACGTTGCCACTCACGGTTCCAGCTCCTCGTCTGGGCTCCTTACGTTTTGCTTAGCTTGCCGTATGTTGACTCACCGTGTCCGACCGGCTATATTTCTTCGTCGTCGGATCCTTGGCATGTTTAAACAAAAATATTATGTAAAACTTTTCTCCCGTCATGTCCTATAGGTAACATTTCTTTGCCAGGTTTCTAATTATTTTTAAAAACATGCAAACTATTTACATTTCAAAACCAAACAAAACAGCAGGGATTTAATTTTTTTAAACTAATGTATTGACATCTGTTTCAGAATATAATAACATTCAAATCAATCACAATGTTATCCTTATGGAAGGAACTTTGAGGGCAGCCCACGCCCTTAAAAAGATATATTTCAAAAATCTAAAGCCAGTTTGCACATCTACACACCTAGACGAACATTTTGGTACATAATATGTGCGGTTAAATCTTAAAACAAAAAAGCCTTATTGTTCACAAAGTTTCATGTCACGTATTAAATATATAGATTCTATTCAAGCTGGTTGGAACAGAGTTAAGTACTGTGACAAAAGAAAAAGCTATATTTCCACTTTCTAGTTTCTTATCAAACGGTAACAAACCTTGGTGTCGTAAGTAGCCTACACACAATATATGTACTGTAGACAATATATATGTTTACCCTGAGCCCACAGCCCTGCTGAGCCACCACGGAGGCAGTCAGTTGCAGTCTCCGTCTGGACTGGTCAAGCAGCTTCAACTTGGTCGTGAAGGGAGCCGGGAATGGAGGAATAACCAGAGTCCCGCCTCCGGGATAGTTCTCCAGACCAACATGCAGCTCTATCTGGCTCTCCTGGTCAACCTTAGGGACAAAAATTCTGACTTAAAGTAACGGACAATTAAAACAGATGAACTTGTGTTTAAAATTAAAGCAATGTTCATGAAATTGTGAGGATGATTCTGGTCAAAATTTGAATTGAAAAGTAATAATTTTTCATGCTGCTTGAAATTTTCTTTAAGCTTTCCATCACCCCAAAACGGCCAAAACTAATTTGTGTATCGATCGACCAATTTATAAACTTAAACCTGCATTAGTTATATCTTAAGAATAAAATCTCAGCTCAATCACTTTTAAGCGCAGGTTGTCTTGAACCAAGCATTTTTTACACCTCTACTCCGCATGTACCTGATGTACAGCCGCCTCCTGTCCCGGCCTGATGCGGCCCTTGACAATGTCTCGTATGTTGTAGCTGAGCTCCTGAGGCAGCAGGTTCACTATGGTGAGAGCGTTGAGCAGAGTGATGGTGTGAGCTGGCTGTAACCACACACTGGACAGCGGAGGAGCAAGAGGTGGAGGTCTGTCTACCGGGTAGTTCTCTCTCTTCACCATCACCGAGAACCTAGTCACAACCACAGTCTCTCTTAAGCAACCCTGGGCACATTCGATTCCCAAATTAACCTAAAATTCAATGTTCACATGGGCTTTAGGCATGTTCATAGAACCACAAAGTAAGATACAGAGGGTACATTCAATGGTACTTAATTGGTGTCTATTAACAGTTGCTGCTGTCTAGAGAAAATTTGTCATCCCCTATTTGTCGTCCCTTTCCGCTCTCCTTTCCCCCTCGCCATACGTACTACAGCACTAACACTGTAGGAAGCCCTGTGCGCTACAACTGATGTACAAAAATGCTCTGTGGCCATCGCTGTTCATGCTCTTCCTTGTTCGGTACACGTACATTTCCTCCCCACCATCCCACATCTAAAAGCGCACTGCTGTCCCATAAGCTTTTATCCTCTGTATCTTACTTTTTTGTGATGGAACTTATCAAGAAAATCAAGAGTGATCTAGTTTAGTAGATGGATGAACTGTACTGGTAAATTTTACAAGTAGCATTCAGCATTGACTATTGGATACTGAAGTAGACATTCAATCTATATGGACCAGCTGTCGCCATTTTTTTCTTTTAACCTAGTTGTGTGAACAAGGAATGCGTTAAGTATCTAAAATTCTGTTTTCTACTTTATTTTTGGCTGCTAACATAGTTGATGGGTCATGAGTCATAACAGTTGCTATAGATCACAATGAGTCTTTCCATCAGTTTGACTCAATAAAAAAGTTTGTTCATTTGACAGCAATTAGTAATTTACATCAGCACAATCTATCAGTGGCTCACATCAACTACGACGATTTAGTGACAAATTTAACATGCAGATTTGTCTAGTTGTACCAATAGTTAGCACTTGTCATTCAAAAGTTCTTACAGTTTATTCAACAAGGTACTCCACAACAAAAATGAATACTTCTATTTTTAATCCTACATTGACTCACTTGTAGTTGTTGCCGCGATTGCTATGACACTGCCTCAGCTCCTCAATGTCCTGTAGAGGTTTGGTCACATGATGCCATGTGATTGGTCGGTTGCAGAACGCGTGGTAGTGTGTGGGGACCTGTGCACGGTCTAGCGGTCGCACCCACATCTGAGCCATTGCGTGTGACAGGGGCACTGACAACGTTGCACCGGGGCTCGCAGTCAGGTGAAGTGGCACTGGAAATAATTAATTTTTTAATCTAGAAGTACGTTAAGAATAGCTTTTAACACAGAAGCTTCTGATTATTTATGTACCTAGAAAAACCAAGGGATAAGCTACTTAATATAAAACCTGTATTATATATAATTAGTTTACCCATTACGTTTCTTGACAATATTGGCTATTCGTAACTGCCATTCTACCTATGATGAGGCCTCTGAAAGGAACAAAAAAATATCATTTTAAATGTGTCCTTTTTTGTGTTCTTTTAACTTCCTGAGACTCTTTCTTCAGATGAGTTAGTTGTGTGTATCCTTCCTATCTCCTTAACAAGTTCTTAAAGCCAAGTTGCTTTATTCCCCTTCAAAAATACATTTAACTAGTAACTTATAGACTGATTTTAAAATTTAAACCAAGGCAAACTGAAAAAGGCCTATGAGTTAACCATAGGATTATTTTTTTCAGTTATCAAAGTATAAAAAAATAACAGAGTAAATAGAATTTTGACATTAGCACACTCTCTTAGATCTTTGGACTATGTACAATTTGAATAATAATGTCTACTTCAGTCTAATGTATAAGATCAACTAAGTTCTCTCACTCACCACCAGTATGTATGTGCGTGTTGTCCAGTTTCACCTCCACAGTGTCGGACATATGGTTACACAGCTGTAGAGCCGAGCGAACAGTGACCAACTTGCGAGCCGAGCCTTCCAGAGTCACCTCCAGTACCACCCTAGCCTGCGGTAGCTCACTGCGCTGCTCATACATACCACAAACAACATGCTAGTTAGGTATATCCATTGCACATTATCTGGTTAAACAGTTAATTATGATGTATGAAAATGTCAAATTATTTTTAGCAAACAATAGGTGTCGTTTGACAATACCAGAAAATTAAAGGTTTACACATTAGTGATCTAACCCATACCATATCACCTACTTTGAAAGTAAAGCAAAACCTGCAAAACTTTGGATTTTTGTGTATTAAATATGGTCGCCTAGAACATTTAGGTTAGATGGCATGGTTTTAGTGGATCATTAATGTCTTAGTGCGCCATCATTACCTGAGCTCAGATTGGCAGGTAATTTCCCGCTTAGAAACAGATTATCTATTTTCCTTGCCTGATACACATCACTTAGTACAAAAATCATCAATCTAGTTAGTTGGTATGAGTTGAGGTGTAGGTGTAGTGTACTGGGTTATTGAATGTATCAGCTGTCGATTGTTTTTCAAATGAGTAAAAATTGGCTTGATAGGTCTGACGAAATATGAGATGAACTAGATATTGGGCAAGCTGTAGTTCTGAAATTATCACACTCTAAAGAAGGTTACAATGTATGGAGGGAAAATATGTGTGTGCGGATACTTACAGCAGATGAGTAGTCTGGCGATGCAAGTCTAAAGTAGACTCCCACTCTGTCCACAGTGACAGGGTCTATAGCTTGCCACCCTTCTACCTTCACTCCCAGCTGGTGTATGGTCACCTTGTGTGTGTATCTGTGCCTCATCTTGCCTGCAATATCACACAAATATCACAGGGGATAACAGAACAATACATAGAAATGATAGAAAACTGATTAGTGGAGAAACAGTGTAATTCACTAAATACTTGTGTATACTCATACAGGATATTGTTCAAACTGTCTGATAAGTTATTCAATTCAATTCAATTCAATTCAAATTATCTTTATTCATCAAGTACATTAGAAATATATACATGAATAGTGTCACATTTCTTATAAGTTATAATAAAACATACATGCTTATAGTAAATGGGAAAAATTGTAAAAGAACATAAAACTAACAGTTAAAACATAGTTTGATTAGTAGGGAAAGAAAAGTCAATTACAGTTCATCAAATGAATAAATAGCCCTGCTAATGAGAAATTTCTTAAGTTTATTTTTAAATTTTTTTATATTTACTTCTGCTTGTATGTCCTTTGGAAGTTTATTATAGAATTTTGTTCCGGCGTATTTGGGTTTTTTTTCGAAAAGGCGCAATTTATGAGGACTTAATGCTAACTTGCCTCGATTTCTTGTAAGATAATCATGTTTCCTTCCAACCAACTCTATTTCATGAAATCTGTTTTTAACAGATACCACTGTTTCAAAAACATACATACCGAAAACTGTCATTATATTTTCTGTTTTAAACATTCTCTTAACAGAAGTTCTAGGTGGAAGGTTGTAAATTATTCTTATAGCTTTTTTTTGCATTCTTAATATAGATTTTAAGTTTCTCTTATTGGTTGAGCCATAAAGGGAAATCCCAAATGAAATCACTGAATGTATGTATGAAAGTAAACCAACTTCAAAGTTTCTATTTCGCAATAGTTTTTTAATCTAGTTAAGGCATATAATCCAGAAGAAACTTTTGAAAGTACTTTTTCAACATGACAGTTCCAATTGAGTCTTTTATCTATTACTAATCCTAAAAATTTAGTACTATCCTTAACTTCAATGGTTTTATTATTAAATTTAATAATCGGTCGACGTTGATTTCTGGTAGTTCGAGTTTGAAAATTTATGATACTTGTTTTATCCACATTGAGATTCAGATTTTGGGAGTTAAAAAAATCATTTAAAACGCATATGTCTGATTTTGCCTTGCTTTCTAATTCTTCATTTGTTGAGGCTATGATTTTCAAATTGGTATCATCAGCATACAAGCAGAGTTTACTTAAATTGCTAAGTTGCGGAAAATCTCTTAAATAAATAATGAATAAAAGAGGCCCCAGAATGGATCCCTGTGGAACCCCATATTTTAAGTCAGTGGTATAAGATTGATATGGAATTTTATAGTTTTTACGGTTATGATAGATAATTTCAACAAACTGTTTTCTGTGAGAGAGATAAGATTTAAGCAAATTTAAAGCAGTCCCCTCTATACCCAAGGTACTAAGCCTTGAAATTAATAAATCATGGGATATTGAATCAAATGCTTTTTGCAGGTCTAAGAACAAACCCGCTACCTTAAATTTACCATCCAGACTATCAATGACCGATTCTATAAAATCAGTGGCAGCAGTTATAACTGATTTACCTCTGCGAAACCCGTGTTGAAAGTTGTCAAACAGATTGTTATTTTCAAAAAATGTTACCAATTGATTATAAATTACTTTTTCATAAATCTTAGATATAGAGGGTAACAAAGCTATAGGTCGGTAATTTGACACCATTTGCCTGTCCCCCTTTTTAAAAAGTGGTTTTAATTTTGTAATTTTTAGCTTATCAGGAAATATACCGGATATCAAAGAAGAATTAACTAGGTGGGTGATTGGTTTTAGTAAAAATGTCTTGGCTTTTTTCAGAAGAACCACAGGAACCTCATCATAGCCCATACTAAAAGAGTTCTTTAGACTATTAATAATTATATCTATTTCATTCTCATTAACAAAGCTGAATCGAAACCTTTTACCAAACTGAAATATTTCATTGTCTACCTGATTCTCAGACATTGGTTCAAAGTTAGACATTATACTAGTTACATTTGAAAAATATTCAATAAAACTGTTACAAATAAATACAGGGTCAGAATTCAACTTATTACCTACTTTTAAATTAATGTTTTGTACATTCTTAGATCCTATTCCCACTTCTGAATTTATAATAGACCAAGAGGTTCTATTTACATTGTTTGATTTGTTAATTTTTGTTTTATAATATTGCTTTTTAAAATACTTCAATTTTGACCTGAATGTTTTATTTAATTTCCTAACTTTTTTATATAAAGATTTACATTTTAACTCTCGGGCTGTTTGGCTAAGATTAAAAATTTTTTGTTTTTCTTCTTTTAACTCATTGCTAATCAAGTTAGGCTGTGTGTGCTGCCTTGACAGAGATTTAGGAAAACATATGTTAAAGTAATAACAAAATGTTTCATAAAATATATTATACTTATTTTCCACTGGAGAGGCATAAAGATCTGCCCATGACTCACATTGAAGTAAGTTTTTAAACTGGTCAATTTGTGAGTCAGAGAATTTTCTTTTATACTCAAAATAAAATTTTTGGGAAGAATGTTTAGTCACAGTATTTAAAATTTCTAGCATCTGACCATCATGGTCGGACAACTGAGTGTTGATGCCTGTTACTCTGTAATTATAAGGTTCCAAATTAGTAAAAATATTATCTATGGTAGATTGAGTAGATTCTGTGATTCTAGTTGGAAAGTCAATTAATGAAGAAAATCCATTTGCTCTCACAATATGTAATAAACTGTTCCTATTTCTATAATTTTTGTCAAGCATGTCAATATTAATATCGCCAATAAAAACTATGTATTTGTACTTTAAGTTGAGAACTTCAATTAAAATGTTAAACCTTCTAATAAACTCTGATTCGTTTTGCTTGATAGGATTTCTGTAACAACCAATTAAAAGTAATTGGTCATTATAGACATAGACATAGACATAGACATAGACTTTATTTGCACAAAACATTCCATACATGTCATAACATTTAGAATAGGTGCATTGTCAAAATTAAATCCATAGGTACATAAAATATTTAACATTAAAACTTTTAACTTAAAATCAAACACTTAAAAAAATTCTAAATTGTAGTTCTGTAAAAATCTTCAATTAAGTAAAAAGGCTTGTCAATAAGAAAATTATCTATTGTATCTTTAAATTTGGTTTTGATATGTGTAGCTGTAGATGTGAACGTTAGGTAAATACTAGTGACCGAGTGATAATTTTACAGAACTTAATAAATGTTATATTTTAAGTGTTGTCAATGTTTATATTATACTAGCTGACCCGGCGAACTTCGTATCGCCTAAGTTATAGGTTTCCCCTAAGACAGACCGATGGAAAGAAAGTACCGTTACGTTTAATTTTCAAGATGATCTCGTTCGCATCGCTCAATCACGTCCTGGTTGAAGTTCGTTCGCTACGCTCACTCACCTTTGGGTTGGAGCTCGTTCGCTGCGCTCACTTGCCTTTAGGTTGGAGCTCGTTCGCTACGCTAACTCGCCTCCAGGCTAGCTCGTTCGCTACGCTCACTCGCCTCCAGGTTGAAGTTCGTTCGCTACGCTCACTCACCTTTTGGTTGCAAATTAGCTGTTGTCATAAATGTAAAAGAAATAATAGTGCTGCACCCTGTTGGTAATCCTTGTAACTTTAATGCTATTGAACATCATAGAACAGAACCAACTTGTTTAATTGAAACAGCTGTTAAGATTCATTAATTCCATTTCTCATAAGGTTAACATGGGAAACTCCAGAGCCACTGGGGCGGAGCCCTTTTAAGAATTTTGAAACGGGAAATAGTTTACGTCCGATTCGCATACCTACAGAATTTACACACCAAATTTCATAACGATCGGTGAAGTCGTTCCGGAGGAGTTTGCAGACAAACACTGTGACACGAGAATTTTATATATTAGATTGTTTAAAAACAATTGAAAAATTCCAGGTGAACAGTTAAACCATGCTAATATCTACCTCTCTCTTCAAACGAGAATGGGATGGTTTCACCAGGATCAACTGCTGTCCATTGTTGATTTCTATCAGAATTTCTCCTTTCAGTTTCCAGCCCATCTATGTATCTGTATAATAAACAGGTAAGAACAGTTCAATTTAGTATAATATAATGCAAATTAACGCTATCGTCTAATCAATCACCACAATTACATTTTATTTATAGCTCAAAAATGTATATAGTGCAAGTTTATTTGTACAATATACAGCATTATTTTAAATTTTTACTTTTTCAAATGTGTACCTATGTTATTAATCGAAAACTCTTTAAATAAAATACTTGTTGGGCTAAAAAATTAGCCTCCTCCTAAGTTGACAGTGAAATAACTCACGTATTGTTGGAAGTGATGATAGTTGTGAACCACAATCGAGAACCAGTGTCGTTGCGTAGCGCAAATGGAACAAACGGAGATCTTCTTCTATAGCCAGGTGGACTACCAAGGGCCTTCAGGTTGGTCGCACTGTCACAGCGAGCACTGTACAAACATTTTCAGGTGTTTTGGAAATAAATTGGGTTTAAAATTGGTTGTTCCTTGAATAAGAATTTTTTAGCAATCAGCTGGTATTTTAATTAGAGCTGAGACTTAAGTCCTTGAGGCTTGGGCTTGGACTCAGTGAAAATTCTGAGCTTTTACAATTTTTGGTGATTGGAAACGTCCACAATAATTCCTAGCATACGATAACTCAATTCACTGTATCTAACTGTCTCACCTGTCCTTGGGGTTGTAGTAGTCTTGGGTCCAAGTCTCCTTAACACTGTTGAACAGTTCGACTAGAGTGCTGGTGATGTTGATGTTTAAAACATCCTCACTCAACAAGTAGACCTGTTGTCTTTCTTGAGTTTTGTCCCATTGAAAGCTACATCTGCAAACAATAATTGGCAAATTATTATTCTATTATTATAATTATTTAAATATAGTGGATTATCTAAATGGCTGCTTCAACTATGATGGTTGTCTCTCAATTTTGGTCTCGGAAACGCTCCTGCCACTGTCAAACAAACTACTTAAAATCTGAGACAAATGCTCTGTTCTTTACTAGCTGGATTTCCCACTTTTATGTGACAATAAATTAGCCTTTTCAAAGTCTTGTAAGGTAAATATTTGCAAAATGATAACAATTTTTTGTTAAGGTGTAAGCTGTCTGCAGTCTTTTATGAGTCTTGTTTTTTTACTATAGGCCTATATACAAAAAAAAAAAATGTGTAAAGGTCAAAGTAAGTTACAGTTTAGTATACATTAAAAGAAGTGATAATTTAAATTGAAACAAAATTGAGCTACAAATCTCCAATCTTGAAACTTAAACGCAAAACCTTTTTTACTTAAGTGTAAACCAGTGTTGAGAGGTTTGGCTGTGGTCACCTCACGATAGAGTTTATGCAACACATTGGTTGATTCTTACCCATACTAGGGTAGGTTTCCATTAACATCCTCCAGGTAGGTACTAAGCATTCTTGTTCACATGTCCTTATGTCAAATACAATATTTATCTGTTAAGGCTTCTCACCCAAATACTTTAAACCATCTGGTGAAGAAGTTTACTGTATCCATCAATAGGAACCAATTTTACTTTTTCTAAAATCTATCTTGTTCCAATAGCTAACTTGCAAGAGTGTTACTTACGACCAAGGCTCGATGAAGGGCTCCCATCCAGACAGAGTGCGGTTGTAGTAGTCACTGTGTAACGCACAGTTGGCAGAACCACTCTGTTGAGCCAAGTCCTGTCGGTACATCAGTGAGCCGAGGGTCAGCTCTAGCAGAGGAACATCTGCGTCTCGGCAGTCGTCAATGATACATACAGACAGACAGTCCGTCTCCACCTGCCACATATAGATTAAATTGTAGTAAAAAATGATCTAGGGCACTATAGAAGTCTCACAAGCATAATACTGGTTGCACTAGAGTATCTAAGAGATAGCATTTGCCAGTTTACAAGGGCCTTAGGGCCTAATCAAGTCTTTTTTACTGATTTAAACTGAAGGAACAACTTATTGTGAGCCATAGCAACTGTTATGAGCCACCAACTTTGTCAGCAACAAACAAAAGGTAGAAAATATAATTTTTGATACTAGCACCTTCTGTGACTGGCTCAATATCTTCACAACTATTTTATTTTTTAATAAAACATTGGTAACGGCGGGTCCATATAGATAAGATGTCTCCTTCAGTATACAAAAGTCTATGGTAGAACGTATCAAAGTAAAGGGTGAGCAATACAAGAGTGTCGTGTGGTGCATCAGGACACAAACATCACTGACACACATTTGGAGTTGACTAAGCCATCATCTCAACTGATTTTTTTTGTTTAAACAATTACATTTTATGAGAAATCCACTGATATACCTCTATGACAGTGAAGGACCGGTTAGTGTAGCCAGCCTCGCTTGAACCGTGAGTCTCTACTACAGGCAGAGCGTGCTGAGTCAGCCACAGAGCAGCATCATCCAGCTGACCACTGCATGTCTCCAACGCCTTCACACAATCCTCCTCCTTGAACCCCAGCGCACTCAGCTTCACCAGCTGACCTACAAGTCATCATTGCACATTATGATGCATAGTGAATATGGAACGTTACAACAAGTAAACTGTAGGGATGGTCAAGTCTCGAAATTTCGGGAAATTTTAAATCTCGTTACACGAGACGAGATTTCTTTTTGGCCAAAATTTTTATCAAGACAAGAATAAAAAAAAAAAAAAAAAAAAAAAAAAAATTAAAAACGCCTGCAGAAAGTCAATGCAATACCCACAATACAGGAGCGTGTTGTAGTTGCGTTTCCTTTGCGAAGGCGTTCTTATTTAATTAATTCTTTAAATGTAAATATTACTTTAATTATTTTAATAATATTACTTTAATAACATTTGAGAAGTTTTGTTAAGTGTAAGCAGTGTGAGGAATGTTTTATTACTATAAAAAGTCAAAACAAGTAATTATTTTATAAAAATTAATATTGCTTTTATTTTATGATTTATTTTATTTTAGGATAAGTTGAACTCTCTCCTAACTGATATCACTATGTTTCCTAATCGTAGGCATTTTTAATAAGTTAGGCGTGATTAATAAAAAAAATGTTATGCTGATGTTTTTTAATAAAAGATTGTAAATATTCTTGCCTATTATCATTATTTTTGTATTTAAACAGTCATCTAACAATGTTACAAAATCAGGTAAAAATTTTGAACGTGCATTTCCCATTGTGTATGAGAAGGGAAATCCCGTCTCGATCTCGTCTCGAAATTTTATGAGAAATAAAAAGTCTCGTCTCGTCTCGTCTCGAACTAAAAATCCAATCTCGTCCATCCCTAGTAAACTGTGTTCACACTTATCAGTTTCTAACAATTCAAGTAAGGGTAGAGATATTACAAGTGCTAAGACTATTCAAAATGTTAAAAGAATGTTTGTACTACACTTAAATTTTTGACTAGGTAGGAATTTAAGATTTAAAACCATAGGAAGAGCATGGTGACTTTCCTGCTGAGCAGAAATTTAACAATTAAAAGAAAGAAATAGAGAATATGAAGAACCTTTATTCTGTGAAACTCACTTCTAAAGTTAGCAGGCCTCGTACTACTGGGTGACTCTATGCTGTGACTGCGAGCCCATCGTGTTTGCTTGGGTACTGACTCCAGCATTTGTGAGAACATACGAACATCATGGTAGGAGAGACGGAGACTCAAGTGTACCATCTGTGCCTGTGGACAAGAACACAATGAATCACAATTATTGTATACAAGTGAGCTACTAAAAATATATTGTTTAATTCTCGTTTCTCTACCAAAATTTCTCAATTATAGTATTCAGGCCAAGCATGGTGTGCAAATGCTCTTTTAGCCGAGTAAAATTTTTATTTTTGCGATAGAATAAGCTTCTGCAATAAATACAGAATTTGATTTTTCAATTTCACTTTGATTTCAGGATATGTTAATGATTTCGACACAAACACGAAGACAATGATGATGTGTTCACAACCGTGGAAGACATTCACGATTTCACCGTGACTGCAGAGGATACTCGGGTTTTTGCCACAACCAAGGGAGAAGATGAGGCTGTCTTGACGACTACAGAAAACATTACTGTTCCCAGTTTCGCCACAAATGCAGTGGATGGTCATGATTTAGCCATGATCGCAGGGGACGCTTAAAATTTTGCCACAATCAGCGACTCAATGTTTCCAATTTAGCATACAAAACCTTAAAAAACTTTAGCATTTATGGCAAAAATATGGCTTAATACTTCTAGTGTTGATTACTTGTTTAAATAATTACCTTGAGTGTCTTGACTCCCTTATCCAGTACAATCTCGATGTTGACGGTGACAGGGTCAATAATGGACAGAGCAGTTTCATCCTCCATACCCAGGATACAAGAGAACATCTCACAATGGTTGAGATTACAAGACAGAGGCTTTTCCATCACAAGTGGCCGGTAAGTGATCACCGTAGTGCTCTGCCAACATAACATGTGTTACTCATTAGTAAATTTCCAACCATCGTTACCTTCACTAGTAAGAAAATGTGATTGTTAATTATTTTTATCTTTAAGGATGGTGAGCTCTTTTAGCCTTGAATTTACCTATCCACATACCATAAATGTGCATGGAATGCATTAAGCAAGCAAGGGGTGAAAGTGACAATGCTGGGATATGAATGCAAGATGTTGCTACTTTGGATTAACTGTCTGAAGCAATACCACCTGAGTCAATGGCTCGTAACAATTCTGACAGCTCTGTCACTAACACACTTTTCCAACTGTCTAACCTTGAAGGACTCAAATGTCGGTCAAAATCTTTTTTTATTTTGGTATTATTCTAGGCTGAAGAGAGGCCTATACCATAAGTGCAGCCTCAGTAGGTTCTCCACCTTTAGTGATAAGGCAATATCTACAAAGTTAACAATCACATTACCTTCAGAATGACAGCGTTAGAGTCCCACTGTGAAGTATCTTCCACAAACACAATTTCTGAGTTGGTGATGTTCAGTTTCATCTCAAATGGTAGCGGAGCCTCCGGATTTGCTGGTTTTTCCTCTCGCTTGTTATTAGCCACTACTGCAGAGGAAATTAAATCAAGTAAATACATATAGTAATATAAAAAATTATTATTTGATGGTTTCTTGGATTTTCTTATATTAAAATGAAATATTAAATGTTTTAAATTAGGATGAATGTATGTCTTGTTGTAAATCCACTATTTTTATTATTGAAGTAACTGAGAGTATCATTGCTTCAATCTCAAATTTGATCTCACCGTCAAATAATAATCAAAAGCAGATGTTTCAGTGAACAACATTTCAGTTAAACTAAACACTGATTCATGAACTTAAAAACATTCCAGAAAAAACAAGTCCAGGGGCTGAATAAAATGTCTGCATGGTTACAGCTTCAGATAAATCATCCTGATTAATTGTAATGTGACGTTTCCATATTCCTTAAATCAGTGTTCAGAGTGATTGAAACCGATTAACCGTTTTCTTTTGGGCATTGTAGTGTTGATGTTTAATACATTTACACAATGTAACTATGGACCTAATGCAATCCAATATATCTTTTACAGAAAGGTTAGCTTAACTAATGACTGGCGTGCTGCCTTACCTGGCCAAGGGTTGACAGGGTTCTCCAGTATAAAGTCCCTCGCAGTCTCCCACCAGTCTAGAATAGCCATTAGTCTCATGTTGTTCAGTAGAATGGTAAACTTGGACATGTCCAGTAGTCTCCTGCAATGGCAACACCAACGTATTACATTCAAAAACACAAATGATATATTTTAATGTTAGACCAATTTTACTATCTTGCAGCTTATTTTTCATTTTGAAACAATGTTTTCCTGCCTTTGAGCTATTTCAATGATGAAAGATGGGATTGCTCACTGAGGTCAGCACATCAGTTACAGGTTTGATTAAATTTGTGCATGTTTTGTTGTTTTGTTGTCAAAACATCATCATCAGGTATTACTAGTGAATTCCACAGTACATACAGACACATTTAATACAGTTACGTTAAGGATTATAGAATTTACAGCTGAACAAAAATGTCTGTTGAAAATATTTCCGTGGCCCTAAACTAATTCCCCAGACCTTAAGCACCTTCTAAGTCTCAGAATAACCATTTAGTAGACATTTTGACGAGCTAGACTGACCTGTGGTGCACCTGAGCCTGAACTGTCCCGACCTCAGAGGTCATCACTATCGGTTGTAGAATGTTGGTGAAGATATTGGATCTCTTGTTGGCTGGTTCATCTGAAATATCCACTAAATGTAAGTATCATTAGCACACTAGTTTACCTTCAGATAGAGAAAGTCTTCAAAATTCCAGGTTTGGTTTAGGTTGGTACTGATTTGTTTGTATTCTATTTCAAAAAATCATTTTAAATACTTGCATTTTCATAAGGTTTGATTAGTTAAGCAAAGGTGTGACGGACCGGATGATTCCACATTTACAAGATACAAAAAATTTGAACTTATCAGTAAAAAAATCATTAACTAAATTATCATTATATTTAAGGTTTTTGTCATGAATAACTTAGCCTGGGTTATTCGGGTTTTACCATGATTGCGTGAAATGAACGAAATTTGTTTGCAATTGTGGAAGACGATGATGTTTTTGTTACCACAGAGGAAATGATGGATTTTGGCATCACCGCTGGAGCCAATGACAATGTCTACAAGGCTGCAGAAAATGAACAAAATTTTTGATTGTGGAAAACGATGCTCTTTTGTTATTGCGGGGTTTTGCCGTGGGACAGTTCCTAGTTTCCATATTGTACATAATTTTATACAAAACGTTTAAAACAATTAAAATTACAAAATTAATCACTATTTTATCACAAAAATACCATCAACAGCTGATCACTGTAACTCTCACATTTTTTAGAGACAAAAAGCAAACTAAAGAGCTCACCTAAAAACCTAGTGTCAGTGATGAGTATCTCCTGTGAGACCAAGTCAACATCTTGTGTGGCGTCGCTGTAGCTGTCCACGTTGAGGTGGCTCTTGACAAAGTTGATACAGGCCAGAGTCTGATGTCCTCTACGTAGACACACACTCACATCTACCAGCTCCAGATGTATAGAGTTCCACAACCATGCGTTGTTTACCTCCTCCTGTATACAATTGGCAGATAAATGGTTAAGAACAAACGCCATTGCAAGAGGATAACAAATATAATAAAGGGGTTTATAGGACTTATTAGAGGTACAATTATATGTTTGCTGAGTAAAACTTGATTTTTACCTGCATAGGTGCAGTGGCAGTTTCTCTAGGAGTCAAGTCATCAATACACTCTCCGATGTTATAACTTAGCAGTCCTTTAATCAGCTTGTATTGATCCAGGTCCACAGTAGCTGCCAAAGTCGAGAGAGTGCCTTGAATGCTCATGTCTGGCACTGGGGAATGAGAAATTGCAATTTAAAATGGAAATAAATAGCTAAAAATAATATTAATATACTGTTAATGTTTTTATAAATATTTTCTGCTTTGTTGTATGGAATACAAGACAGCTAGTGTTACTTCCATACGTGTATACATACAGTAGTACAATAAGTATCCACCGTACCGGTATAGTAAAGTATAATCCTAAAGTCTAATATCGTTGGCAATGTTAAATTTGCTAAGCAATTACCACTATTAATGCATTTGTTCAAGGTAGTGTAAGAAAATCTGATAAGGGATATTAACTCATTAAGTCTAAAAAAGTTTGAAAGTGTTGTCCTATTTATTTTTAAGCTAGGAGATTTTTTGCACAGAAGTCTTGCGATATTATATGGAGAGTGGTAGATAATCATCATGTAGATGGTCATGTAGATGCTCACAAATTTCACCAAAATGGCGGGAGATTACCTCAATGCTCTTACAATGCTAGCTTAAACAGGTTACGACATTACTTTATGAATTGATTCATAATAGCGTAAATAATAGTGAGAATAGAATTTTAAGATTATTGTACATATTAATTAGTGTATTTGACCGCCACTAGCAGTAAGTAATCACACTTTACCGGAGTGAGCGATGTGCGTCATGAGGTTGCGCTCCACTTGCAGTTGCAGATGACATTTGTCTCGTAGCAGTGAGCCACCTCGGCGAGTGATGCAGTAACTACCCAGCACATGACTGTTGGGTTGAACCTCAGAGACCCGGTAGCCACTCAGCAAGTCCATGTGGTCTAGTTGTATCTGCATCACGTCCAACAGCACTCCTGAGGACAACAGTTAAAAACCCATGCAAATTGCAGTTTTGGTTAATTGGTTGTTGCAATCACATGACAAGATTGCAACGTCTTGGCAATCACAGGGAACTTAAAAGATTTTGTCGCGGTTGTATGTTATAAAAATTATGTCTTTGCAAAAAATCACGCTTTTGCCACGATCACAAGAGACGATTGTGGAAGACAATATTAAACTTTTTGTTTTTACTTTTATTAATTTTATGTTATTGTTAGTTTTTTAAGGTTAACTGTTAGGACTTGAGGTCCTAAGTTTGTCTCGATAAAGGCAAATTTACATTTAATTTCATTTCAATTGTTGTTTCAAGGATTGTTGCATACATTTATATTCAGTTATTAATCAAACTAAGTTTAACCTGCAATAATCCCTGTAATAACATAAACCTTAAACAAAAAATATTATCTTTAGAGTGGTATTAGCTGAATTAAAAGTAGGAAGAAATTCTTGCTGAAAAACAGATAGGCCTTATCAATAAAATAAATACCAAACCAAAAAACATGGCAACCGACACATCACTAATAAACTGTGGTAACCTTTAGAGTTGTCCTGGGGTGTGCTGATGGTCCCCTCCGACCCTGACATGAGGAAGCGGTTGCTGACGTGCAGTTTGCCCAGGTCTACCACGAGCACCTCCCCAGAGCGAGCACTCATTGGTAGAAACAGCACTGGAGACGCAGCCACCATCTCTAGCTTCAGTCTGGTGCCTGACCCCTCGAGCTCACTTATCTGACCACATAGAGACAGTGTTAAGGTTAAGGTGGCGACTAACAATTTTTGACTATCTAATAATAACAACAAACCAGAAGGTAAAAATCTACACTTTTGTTCAACTGTTGAAATTTGAAACACCATTGTGGTAAGTATCAACAAAACATCATCATCATAACTGGTATAACTTGTGTAACATGATATCGTTCATCTTGGTTTAACTCTATACAATAGATGTAACCTAAAACACAACGGCCTCAGTTTGAAGTTAACAACCATCCTTGGTTGAAAATAGCTAAACATATTCCCACGAGTGTTGGCATTATCAAAATTATTAATGTCTTTTCCGTTTTTCTGAGGGATTTTTAAGTTTACAACTGATTACTAATATCTGTATCTTATAATTGAGTTGTGTTTTCATACTCTACATAACTTTGTTTTGTTGGCTTATTTTGAACTTTTTTTGGATTTATATTTTATATCTTTTAAGAAAGGAAGATTTTTTTAAATATTAGTGAATTTAATACATAGAAATAATTAAGTACTTACTATAAATATTAATATTACAAACAACAATCCAATCATGTTAAGTTATTTAAATTTACTATCAACTGGAGCCTAAAGCTGGAGTAAAACTCTTAGGATAGGTTAAGAAATAGAAATAAGTAGTATGAAGTGAATGTAATCTTTTTGAGGATCTTTCTACCACAAAATGCACACCAACAAGGGATAACATTGTTGATGTATTTAGGCTAAAATTTCAAAATATTGTAATTTTAATTACCTGTCGAGTAGAGCGGATACCGTTTAGAATGCGTTGAAGCTGAGAAAACTGGCGAAAGAATGCTTGCAGTTCTGCGATGAATCGTTTGGTGTGTACATACTGTACGGACATCATGTCTAGTCGCAGATAAGTGTCGTATTCTCTGATTAAGTGGGGATCTGGTGTGTTGTGTCTAGAAAAAAAACAAGTAAAACAATAATTATTATCTTTTATTAACACTTGATCAGCCAAGGAAATTAGCCTGCTGGTCTTTTAGAACAGAATCTGGTCTTATCCAGAAAGGTGACTTATGTTATTTATTAGTTTATAACAAGAAGACATTATAAGAAGGATGAAGTCAGAATATCAAATAAGAGTGGTAACTCGGATGGTTTACTCAGATATCACAGAAGCACGAGCTACCTCAACCCGTGTGTTCATCAAGATAGTAAACATAATGCAATAGATATATCTAATTTAGTAATTTGTCAGAGAGTATTTATTGATGTCTTTAGGGCGTGATTTGTATAATTTAGGGATTTTGATGAGACAGGAACCTCAATACTAATGCGATTGCATCAATTGATCTAGATGACGTTGTGATCAAGAAAATGAAAGGGCATTGCCTAAATTGCACAACGTTGCTGGATTCTGACACGTTAAAAGTTTGGAGAACCATTTAAACATTTTAGAATTGAAAGAATATGAAGTTTTGAGTATCGGTTCACACACTAGAATCAATATTGGGTTTGATGAAAGTTTCGCTTTGTTTCTAGAATGAATTGCTAGATTTTACCATCTCTAAACATAAGTCTTGTTTGTCAGCTACTTAAGTTAAAAAATGCTGGCCATACATTTAATAAAATCACTACATTTCACTCAACCTTTCAAAAACATCAGAAAAGTTATTCCATTGTTAGTAATCTGCAAGCTGTTCTCTGGTATAAGATACTATTTTGTCACATCCTACTCACTTCTTCATGACCATGTTGAGTCCCGCAGTCACAAACTTCTCCCTGTACAGCTGGCCATGGCAAGGTGTCAGGTCTACAAGACTGAGTGATCCGACACTCGCTTCTGTCTCCGTAACTCCTGCGCTCGCTGCTACTACTCGTGCGCTCAACTGGCTCATGACAGCACGAGCAACCTCGTAATCAGCACGGTTAAACACCACGGACAGCGAACGAACAAAGATCTCGTGCTCTGTGTTGACGTGCGGTTTGTCACTGGCAACTGGAAAGAATTTGAAGGATTACAATAACAAAAATACAGGTACTTGTTGTAGGATGTCTCAGTAAACTCAACATAAGTTACTAAGGACGGTATACAACATACAAAAGGGAGAGGTTAGAACGAGAATATGGTATGTTTTCTATTCTAAATTTTGCAACGAACCTGACTTAGCTTCAGTTGCTGGATGCTGTTGACCCCTCTTGTTGTCTGGTTCTCGACCGGTGGAACTGATGCCGAAGAAATCCAACACTACGACCCACGACTCCACATTGACCACTACGTCCAGGCTGTTGAAATCTATTGTGACACATTTGGAGTTCTGAAAATGCAACATAACCAAACCAAATCCTTTATTGTCGTCAGGCAAAACAATCATGCAATAGACATGGTCAATTTTAGATATTTAAAGAGCTTGTATAAAACCTGATTACAAAAACGTGATCAGCTGTAAGGATTTTCCATTTACCAAGCATTTAAGTTTAATTATTTTTACATTTCTATGGACTTAGATAGAAGTAGACATTCTATTGAATATACAAGTTGTAGCCAGTTTTAGAATACAAATTAATTGAGCTACTGACAAAGTGTGCTGATGTTTATCACTGATTTCTATTGAATACGCCAAGTAAACCAAACTAAAAGACAATGATTGTATACCAAAGCATCTTTTTTTATGCAACATCAGAATTTGACAGCACTAAAAACTAAGGGAGGAAACAGAATTTTAGGTTATAGCACACTCCTTCAGTAGCTTAATTAACTGTGATCTTTTCTAATAAAAGATTGGCCACAGCTGATCTATAAGGATGGGATATTGACTTCTGTACCCAATAGACGATTTATCTATTACCCATACATACATTGAGAGCCGGGTGCCTGGGTGCTCGCAGTACCATGTTGATGTGTACCAGGTTATCCTCACTGTAGCCGCAGGGGGAGGCAGTAGCACGGGGTGAGGGAGGGGGAGTGGATGGATACAACCCCTCTGTAGTCACTGTAGGTTTGGTCGTCCGCTTGGAACTGCTTGTCTCTGTCAAACATTCAGCATTAGAACAACTGAGTTTGCGATAGAGCAAAATGAAAAATGGTTCATTGAAAAATAAAACAACAATAATGGCTTGTTCATAATAGCATTTAATAGAGAGTCTCTGTGTGAGAAATGCCTTGAGGAGGAGCAAACAGCATTTCATGTACTGCTTGAATGCCCAGCCTTGTTGGGATTGCACATGAGATTTCTCGGAATAACTTGCTGAGATAAAGGAGAAGGTAAGGGAGGGGCGAGATTTTTGTCAATAGGGTGTATTAAAAACGGATAAGTAGCCAAGGTGCAATTTAATGGAAAACAAAACTTAACAGAAAATACTGATTTTGAAATGTTAACAAAAACAATATTTTAGGGCCTTCCGAAGGTTATTATTACTTACTACTAAATGTGCAGTAAAACAAAAATAACCATGACAGCGCCAAAATAACCTAGGCTATGGTGGCCTAGTTCAGACAGTTTCAACCTTTCTGTCATATCCTTTAGTCTATCTTGACTTCATATGATTTAGTTAATAATTCAAATAAGGTCAAGACAGATGATAATTGTTTTTCAATGTTTACATTTTACTTTATTATAGTTAATCATAACAATTTTCAATAAAAGAGTTTCTTCAAATGTGTGCTTATTATGATCTCTAATTCAAAGTCACAACAATTATTTGGCGACGAAGGAAAAACAGAATTATTACATGTAAGATTACTAAATTTTTCAGAATTTGTGTTCAAATTATTTTGTATTCAAAATGAATGCAGATCAGTTCAATCAATTCCTTACTATCTTTCAAGAACAACAAAGACAACAGCAAGAAAACCAGAACAAGTTTATTAAAGAAGTATTAGAAACTGTCTTAAAACAGAATGATCAACAGACTGAGATACCTCGGGTCAACTACTCAAATGTGGCTCTTTTTGAAAACTATGATCCAAAGAAAGAAAAATTTACATGTTACTTAGAACGTTTTGAAAACTATTTATTACACCATGAAAGGCCTAACAGACTCAACTAAGATTGGACAGCTACTGTGCATCTCTATCGGCAGTGATCATTATAACAATCTTAATTCTTTTCTAGGCCCCGAGAAACAATTGAAAAGTCTCAACTATGATGAGCTTATCACAGCATTCAAGCAGTTATTGATTCCTAAGAAGAACGTTGTAGTATCTCAACACTCTTTTCTAAATGTATTTCAAAAAGAACACCAATCAATAACAGAATTCGTGGCTTCCCTACAACGTGATATTGCTGAGTGTGAATTTTCTGTCAAGTGTTCATGTGACCAGACAGTTTCAATTGCCGAAGTTTTCCTGAGAGCCCAGTTTATTCGAGGTTTGCGAGATGACTGGCAACGAGAACAAATTCTACAGTCAACTGAAACTACTTTTGAAGGAATCCTTACCAGAGCAATCGCCCTCGAAGCATCAAAAATTGAATCCAGGGAACTGTCTAAACGTTCACATTCAAGTAATGCAAATTTCAATATATGTGACGATGTGAATAAAGTTTCACATAAAGCAAGGAAATCTCAATTCCAAACCGGTAATCGACCTTCCAGACAGCAACAGGGTCACTCCTCACGCTCTCGAAAACGTCCAGATCTGAAATCTCTTGGAATTGGTAATCTTTGCTTCAGGTGTGGAAAAGACAATCACCAAGCATCCGAGTGCCGCACCGACAAATCTAAGCTCAAGTGCAACAAATGTAACAAGCAAGGACACATATCTAAAGTGTGCATTTCGACCCTTATCGCAGAACAGAAGAAAATCAATTCTCCCAGTGCAGCCAATTACATCCAGTGCTGTTCTCCTACAGAGTCTACATCGAAATTTTCTGATTACGGACTAAATAAAGTAACTAATGTCAATTCAAGCCCGAAGTTACTAGATCTGTTTGAAGTAAATAACGATTCAGACAAATACATGATCACAGTTAATCTCAATGGAAAACCACAACAATTCGAAGTAGACACAGGAGCGAAATTCTCACTTCTAGCTAAAAATGATTTCGACAAACTCAAATTGGACATTCCATTGGAAACAACTAACATTGCTTTCAGAACTTACTCAGGTAATATTATCAAACCTGAAGGGAAAGTGAAAATAAATGTTACTTACTGTGGACGTTGCGTCAAAGAGGAACTCCACATTGTTCCAACAGGACACGAAGCACTCTTGGGACGTCAATGGATAAGAGCCCTAGGAATCGAACTGAACAAATTGAATGAAGACACAAATCAAAGCACTCAAATTTCCCAAATCAAAAGAATCCAGTCTCCTGAAGAAATCTTTCAGTCTTTTTCCAACATTTTTGAAGAGAAAATTGGATGCGTTCCAGACTTCAAAGTGTCATTACAGCTTCGAAATGGTGCAAAACCTATTTTTGTTAAGGAACGAAATGTCCCACATGCTTTAACCGACCGAGTGAACAAGGAATTGGACACACTGGAAAATGAAGGGATCATTTCACCTGTAGAGGCCAGCGATTGGGGATCGCCACTGGTTGTCATTCCTAAACCAGACGGTGGTGTCCGCCTCTGCGTCGATTACAAATGCGGTGTCAACGAGCGTCTAATTCAAGCAAATCATCCTATAAGGCGTATTGATGATGTTATTGACAGTTTGCGCAATTCAAAATACTTTTGCAAACTTGACCTCTACAAAGCCTATTTACATCTCCAGGTGGATGAAGAATCTAGCATGATACAGACAATGACGACTCACAGAGGTACTTATAGAGTACATAGACTCAGTTTTGGCATCAAAACTGCACCATCAGAATTCAACCGCATACTCTCTCAGATCTTAAAGGGGTTACGTAAGACAGAAGCATATTTTGATGACATTATTGTGCATGGTTCGACCATTGAAGAATGCAGTGAAAATTTACAAGCCTGTCTACAGAGACTCTCTGATTACAATTTACATGTCAACAGAAACAAATGCTCATTTTTTCAAGAAAAAATTGAGTATTTAGGACGAGTCGTAGAGTTCAACAAAATTAGTAAATCTCCAACGAAAATTCAAGCAGTCCAACAGATGCCTCGCCCGTCCAATACTGAAGAGGTCAAACGTCTACTCGGACTTGTGTCGTACTACTCACGTTTCATCCCTGATGCTTCAACTATCACATATCCTCTGCGATGTCTGTTACAGAAAAATATGAAATGGGAATGGAATTCATCCTGTGAAGCAGCATTTTTACAAATCAAATCAGAGCTCTGCAGTGATCGAGTTCTCGTACCTTTCGATCCGGCTCTCCCTCTAGTACTAACTACAGACGCCAGCCCTACAGGACTTGCAGCCGTGCTTAGTCATGTCACAGAAGGAGAAGAAAAGCCCATTGCATATGCTTCTCGTTCTCTTACAGTTTCTGAAAGAAATTACAGTCAATTAGACCGTGAAAGCCTCGCTATTATTTTTGGCGTGTCACATTTCTACTATTACCTTTTTGGGACTCACTTCACACTAGTAACTGACAATGCACCCATTTCACGGATTTTCCAGCACAACAAAGCACTCCCTCAAATGACATCAGGACGTTTACTCCGATATGCATCTTACTTATCCGGGTTCAACTACACATTAAAATTCAAACCTGGCAAGGAAAATGAAAATGTTGACTGCCTCTCAAGAGCTCCACTTCAGCAAGTAAATTCGACTGTTGATGAAATCATTGCCAATGAAGTCAACCAAGTATACGAACAAATGATTTTCGAGATGTCAGATGAACACATAACCGCTTCAACAATAAGGAGTGAAACAGAAAAGGATCCAGACTTATCAATAATTGTAAAAGATCTAAAAAACAAGTCTGATGAAACAGAATATACATTGGTTGACGGGATTTTATTTCGCCAAGATCGTGTAATTATTCCAAGAAGCTTACGACCATCAATCTTAAATGAACTTCATTATACCCACCTAGGTATAACAAAAATGAAACAGCTGGCCCGCCTCTACGTCTACTGGCCCAGTATCGACAAAGAAATAGAACGTATTGTCAAAGGATGTGAAAAATGTGCTCTCACACGTCACAGCCCTCCCAAAGTTCCAGTACATCCCTGGGATACACCACAAGAGAATTGGGAAAGGGTTCATATCGACTATGCAGGACCGCTTGATAATACATATTTTCTCATGTGTGTTGATGCAAAATCTAAATGGGCGGAGGTGAAAATCATCAAAGACTCACCTACTAGTGCGAACACAATTAATCTTTTAGAAGGAATTTTCTCATGTCATGGATATCCTCAAGTACTTGTTTCAGATAATGCTACCATTTTCAAAAGTGATATTTTTCAAAATTACTGCAAAACAAACGGTATTTTCCAGAAATTCATCGCTCCAGGGCATCCGGCAACAAACGGTTTAGCCGAGAGATCAATCCAAACACTAAAGAATCGCCTGAAAGCAGTCTCAACTGACCAAACTCCAATCCAAACCAAAATTCAAAATATTTTACAAAGGTACAGAGCAACACCGCTAGCTTGTGGTCAGTCCCCGGCGGAACTCTACCTGCACAGAAAAATAAGGATAAGACTAAATGCCATTTTCCCGTACAAACCTCAACCTTCAACTACACAGTCTTCACCTGCACGTTCACTATATGTGGGGGAGAGGGTACAGGTCAAACTTTTCATCAATAATAAAAACATATGGCAGTTTGGTCAAGTAAAGAAGAGGCTTGGGAAAAGACACTATCTCGTAGTTCTCGACTCATCTGATAGAATCCTGAAGAGGCACATCAATCAACTACGCCCAACGCTGGTACAGAGTCCAAAAACGAAAAATGTTACATTCGGACCAACGCAGTTGTTTGATGTTCCCAGAATTCCAAGACGACCAGAAATACATAGGAATCCAGATCCAGTTGCAGCTCCAGAACCAAGGCAACCAGAAGAACAATCTCCAGCAGAAAGAGCTCAAGCTGAGAATGTCATACCACATCGTGAGCAAGCTGATAATACCAACGCCAGACCACAGCGTAAGCGTCACATGCCCTCAAGATTTAGAGACTACCAGATTTGATTGAAAAAGATTGTTCTTAATTAGTGGGGAAGACTGTCATATCCTTTAGTCTATCTTGACTTCATATGATTTAGTTAATAATTCAAATAAGGTCAAGACAGATGATAATTGTTTTTCAATGTTTACATTTTACTTTATTATAGTTAATCATAACAATTTTCAATAAAAGAGTTTCTTCAAATGTGTGCTTATTATGAACTCTAATTCAAAGTCACAACACTTTCCGTCAACTCTTTTGACTTTCTAGCTAGGTAATTTACCACAACTAAACCCTAAGGCCTTTTTCTGAGGCCAAGACATATTTTCCATTATTATTCCATGTTGTAGTGTGGTACTTACGTGTGTCATGGTGATACTTGCTGCCGTAGACATTCTCCGTCTCCAGATGATCAGGCAAGGAGATATGCATCTGAGAGCCACTGCCAGGGTGCAGCACTGCAGCCAGGTTAGGACAAGACTGTGACACGTGGTTGCTGTGATGAGGCGCTGCCGAGGTTTGCGATGACGCCATGATCCGGCGGTACTTGGAGTCTGGCGCTTGCAGCAGGTCTTCCATCAGTAGTGAGCGCAGCGACATCTGCACAAAATGTAGTGCAAAATTTAATTTGTAACTTATATGCCTGGCTATAGATGAAAGATATATAAAATCTTATCTAATTAAGGGTTTTGTGGTAAAAAGTTTACATCCAACTAAGTTTTTTCTTTTCCAGTACTAAACTCCAATTTTTGACTCACAACAAGACAATTTTTGTCAACAAAATGGTAGGATTGTGCAATTTGAATTGTGTATTAATATCTTAGAAAGCCAACCTCGCAGTAAAAAAATACACTCTAGGTGCCAGGATAATAAGCAGCATAAATGTTTTTGAAACATTTGCTTTGAAGTAGAACATAATTAAGGAGTTAATTTACAACATTCATCTTTGGAATGTTAGATTTTTATTTATTTTCACAATCATTTTTGAGTCACAAATTAATTCTCTTACATTTAAACGTTAGCTACTAATGGATAATAAAACACCAAACAAACAAGTCACAAGCCCTTGGGGCAGTGCATTATTTCACTTTACTTTCTAAACAAAATTTGGTGAGATTTTTTTTTTAAATCACAAATTACCTGTATATTAGTCTCCAGGGGGTGAGACTTGTCGTACTGTATCTGTAGATCTTTGAAAGACAAGTCCACCAGTCCCTGCTCTCCGGAACCCAGGTCAGCTATCAGCTCCACTGTTAACACTGGCAAGTCCATTGATGCTGAAACAAGGATTAAATGTTAAAATAACAACCACAGGATCCATACCAAACATTGACAGACGGTGCAGTAAAATAATTATTTGAAAGGGGGAAAAATTGAAATAGCATCCGGGATGCTAGGATTTGCATGATTCGGTCATTCGGACTAGACTATGAGACAGAAGTTGTATAAACATATGTAAAACTTAGTCTAAGTACCAGGCTACTGTTTTTAAGTAATTTTTTTGGAGATGAGACAACTATCTAGGTGAAAATTAAAGGTTCACCTTTTTTATTCCACTGTTTTCCACATTACTTCAGGCTAGGACTAGAGGGGTTGCGGTATTATCACTTAGATAAAATCCATCGGTGATTGGCTGGATTTTAACCCGAGACCTCTCCCCCCAATATCACACTAATATATGTTTCACTAATGCATATACTAACAATAAATACAACAAATAACAAATACTCCATATATCTGATTAATACTAACCTCTCAGTATGAACGAGGACTGTTGACGCAGTTCCTGGTTGGCCGAAGTGTTCATGTACATCCTGGCTCTCAGTTTGGGGTCAAGGTTAAGAGTTGTCACTCCAGTCAGTTCTGTGTCTTCCTCTATGTCCTGCAGCGGTCGGTCGCTGTGCCCGTTCTGTTCGCTCTGCTCACTCACTGCAGCTGACTGTCCACTCAACACGTACGCCACTGTCTCCAGCACCTGCTCGTACTGCTGCCGAGACAGCGACACCTTCAGTGGAGTGACCACGTTCGCTCGAATCTGCAATGGTATATGATCTGTTCAAAACTAAACTTTCAGTGCAGAAGAAAGTAAGTAACAGTGTACCAACTTGTATAGCTCCATCTGTAACGGTTAAAAAGATATTTAAGCTGTCCTGGGAGTTTTCACCACCCCTGTATGTATCAAATGTATTATATATATACTTGAAAAAAGTCTGATCATTTAAACTCGACCCATATAACATTTTAAACGATCAGATTTTTTCCAGTCAATTATTATATTTGACCAATGAATTCACCAATGATGTAAACTACTACTTCACTAATGTTGAATCAATTATTTTTATAAATAAACTTTGCCACCACTAGATACATAATTAGAACAATAGAACATAATTAATGTCACAATTAGATTCGAGAACCACATATCCCTGAATAATTCCTATCATCCACATATTTTCCACAAACAATAATAACTTCAAACAAATCAAAGCTACTCTTCCAATTAAAATGTTTCAAAAGACATCAACTACATAGTACATAACTAACCTGAACAGTGTTCTGTCGCTCGGCGGAGGTGAACTCAGGGCCGGACTCCAGCAAGATGCTCTCTGCCTGTCGCATGTACAGTTGTCCAGCCTGGTGATCTACAGTCAGTTGTATCACAGTGTCATGCAGCACTGGCTTGCCTGACTCTGCACAACTGTACAACTTGTCCACGCGCTGCATCATCTGACCTCTGCAAAACAAACCCAACAGTAAGATCATAACTAGTAAAAGAATTTTTAAATCTTGTATACAAATCAAAACTGTAGTGTTGATTCAAGTTTTACATGTTTGATACCATTTGTTCATAAATATGACAAAGTGCAAAGTGTAAAGACCAGCTGTATATTAGGGGTCTGGGGGGAACAGACTTTTCTACTGGGGGGTTAAAATACGGTCCAGCAAAGATTTGGGTGCTTTGGAATGTATTGATTTAGAAAAATTATAATTTTTAATTTTTGGATTACAATCAGTTTATAAAATATTGTACATTATTTTCCGCCATTTCGGGGAAATCAGAACATCTCATACAGTCGTGGTTAAATGTTGTACCTCTCTCAAGGTTGCAGTGAAATTCAAGAATGTCCCCTGAGGACGTGATGAAACCATAAACGTCACTGATTAATGAAGACCCATCGGTCAGTAGTTATGAAACGGTTGGGCTCAATTATGTACCATCAGTCTCTGGTGGAAAAACCACCACAGCTTATTTTTTAGCTGTTGGTTGATTGTAACGATTATATTACAATCCAAAAGTTAAGGTGTAAAAAAATTGTTTTAAAGTTTGAAAATAAACCAACTACTTACTCGGACAGATGTTTCTGAATGTCAAGTGTGTAGACGTTCATATCTCGTATCTCTATGTTGTAATGTTCATTAGTATCTGAGTCATCCACCCAGCATGACTGGGGTTCCTGTAACCAAATAGAACTTATGGTTTCTATTCAAGGTAGGCATAAATGCGTAAATTGTTAGCAAAATGCTGCAGAATGAAAGTATCAGTGGGCATGTCACAGTAAAAAATTGAATATTATTTTTCTTTGGCAATCTGCTAATTCAGGAATCAGGATGCAGTGAGGCAAATTATTTTTTTAACTCACTCTGTAGCGGGGTGGTTGGTGGTAGATAAGGGAGAATGGCCTTAGTTATAGGTAACAACTAACAACAGGAGGATTGTATTAATTGCACTGGACACTTGAGGAGAGCTCGTTTGGGATGACGTGTATTATTTATCTCTTAGTTGTTCATTCTTGCACCTCAACTTGCTGTTTGTTTGTGATGTAAAGTTTTTCTTTTATTGCAGGACATAAAAAAAAATTGGTAAATGCATTTTGAATGACAAAGACTATTTCATTTGTGGAAAGTGGACAAGAGATAAGAGTTACATCACAAAATGTACTGTTTGTAAATTTTTAACAAAGTTTGATGATTTTTACATCTGATTTGTTTGGAGACCACTGTTACTCACAGGTGTTCCGTTGGTGAGAGACATACGCCCCAAGTGAGCCACCAGCACCTCAGTGCTGTCAGCTGACCTCGGCACCACTACCACAGGCGTGTCCAGTATCACATCCCACCTGCAGACAGCAACAAGTGTTAGCTAGAAATACTACGTTGGGAATCCTCTGCTGATATACTATTACTGGAGTAAAAATAGATAAGGTTATAGTTTAAAAGCAAATTGGAAGATTTATTAAATTTATTCAAAGTAGCAGTCAGTTTAATTTCCTTGTATGTATTATTGTAGCAAGAATCTAAACCCAATGATTGTAAAAAATGTTATATTCGATTCTCGAATCTCGATTGAATCTGAAAATTCAAATCTTTCCTCTGAAATTCAATTCATTCGAGGTGCAGCATTCACTCATTTGTATCTAAACTGATAAAAATTTTAAATGTCAAATCTGATGTACTGACTTTATCTGAGTGCGTAGTAAGTCGTCCTCTGGTGTGAAAGGTGTGGCAGTCCCTCTGGTGTTGGTGATCTGCCCGGAGTCCAACATCTCTATACTCTGAGACAGACTGCTGCGTCGTCGTTTGCGAGGGGTGGAGGATATGTCAGTGGATGACCCGTACAGTCGCCCACCCATAGACAGTGACTGTGCCAGCGACTCTGCTCTGCAAATACAAAATAAATTAGTAAATATTCTAACCATTTTTAAGTTGCAATACAGTAGATTCCTGCTATTTGGAACTAACTTGGATCACACACTGTTCAAATTAGCTGACATTCTGATATAGCGAATTTCTGTCATAAAATAATTATCTTTGCTGAGAATGCTGGAGACATTTTATAATACGATTATCTATACTTTATTTCCAATCAGTGTGTTTTTACACCATTGGCGTTTTATATGTTTTTTGTAAGGGAACGGCCCATACCCTAGCCTTGTAACTATCTAACATCAAACTTTTGTTATAGGCCTAAAGCATTATTAACCAATGATAAATGTTACTCAGTCTGGAATTTTCTCCACTCCAAACCAGCAGCCTTCAGATATAACAGCAATTAGCCTACTATAACTACTAGGCTACCCAGACAATTATGTAAGCAAAACATTTGTATAATCTTAACTTCCGTTTATCAATTGTAACGAGTCAAATGGGTAGGGGGGTAAAAATATAACGATCTAGACCACGAACATTAAACAGCTAAACATAAGCTGTTGAGTAAGCCTAGTCGCGACACTAAACTGACGTCGTACCTAACCTCCAATTCCAAGACCGCAGACGACGTTGGTGTCAGTTTGGTTGTTTGGCTGTTCGACTGCATCTGAGGCCGGGCTACGGGAGAGAAGATGAGCAGCGAGGTCACCTTTGAGCGGTACGCGGCTGTAAGCCCGTTAAAGCTACCATGCGCCTGCCTTCGCTGCCAGTTTTTTTTTTGTTTCGGTAACTCGTTGACCAATCAGGAATCGTTTTAACTTTCGTCTCGATTCTGAGACGAAGGTGAAGTAAGAAGAAGTTTTGTGAAGTTTTCGTCATTCGTATTCCCGGCTTTTCGCGAGTTCGTTCGTTTGTCTTGAATTCTAAGTGATTTCATTCAATTTCTTCGTCGTTTTTAAAGTTACGTTTCAGCAAGCTCTGAAAGCTTAAGTTCGAATAGTTTTGTAGTGAACTTGTGCAGGAACATAGTGGGTTATAATTTCGTCGACTGGTGAGTTTCGTAGTTAACTTCTCTGGTTTTCGTATATTACTTGACCAGCTTTCGTGTACGAAGCTTGGTTGAACTTGAAGACTAGGCCTGATACGCAGACCTAGTCACACGCCTTAACCAACTAATTTAGTAAAGTATTGCAGTTGGTGAAATATATTTTCGCTTAACGTTTCTTAATCCGTCTTGGGACTTTCTTTTTAAATTCTTAAACCCCTTTATAAAGTTCCCGAACGCCCCGAAGTTGGCCCCAGCAGACAGGTTTCTGCTTGATAATTATTGCAGAAGTTTGCTTAAGTTGAACACGTGGGGAAGTTGAAGTTTTAGTTTTTCTTTTTTCGTATCAGCTCTTGAAGCAGTTTTATTTTTAGTTTCAGTTTTTCTCCCGTTTCGTGTCTCACTTGGACAACTTAAGCCAACTCTTTTCTTGTCTAGTAAATTCAGACTCTGTGGGAGTTAGGCTAGGTTAGGCCTATCTTGTACTAACCTTGTTTGTTTCAGGGTGACGACGTAACTCCGTAGGTAAGCGGAGTGCCTACTTAGCTTACTTGTTGATTTGTTAAGTTAGCTAGTAGTGTGTCATTTAGATATTTGCCCACAGAGTCAAGTCAAAATTTATTTATTTCCCCACAAGCCCTAGGCTAGAGTGGTGATTTCGAGTAGGGTGTTTAGTAACCCGCAACGTTCGTCTCGAGCTCTGACAACCAGGGCTATCAAAGTTAGGCTATCCGAATCACTATCGACTCCTGGGAAACTCCCCGCGACCAGACTAGGGCGAATCCTGGGATCTCGTTTTCTTACCGGTGGCGTAATTTACCTCTTGTCGTCCGCCAGGAAAATTACGTCACACAATGATACATAAAAGTATCTCAAACTCAAATTTGATTTACATTGAAAACCCAAACTAGCAGTAGCGACGTGGTGACCTACCTGGCATGTACAAGGCCAATTGCCATCTCCGTGGCAGCCGAGCCAATGGAGCGAGCCAGATTAGCAAGATATTGCTTAAACTCCTTGGCACAGGACTGCAGCTCCAACAGTAGGTGTGGCGAGTGTGTGTACCACACTGAAGCAAACCTGATAGAGATGGCAGCACTGTCTGTAATATATCCACCAAGTGTGTTACAATAGAATATAATGGAATGCATGCAGGTTGTAGTGGAACTGAATGAGATTGATGAATTAATCGAAGATTTTGCTGACAAGGATACTTGTAAATCCTGGTATCCTATCAACAAGTATAATTTCTTAACTTTAGTCACGGTTTTTATCACAATTCAAAGGTGTCTACTACAAACAAGAGACTACATTTATATCCCTCGCAACAACTGGCATCGGATTAAAATAGGTTGACCCCCTTCCCACAAAAACTTAATCAAGGAAGGTGATTCATAATTGGCAGGAGCAAAGATTTTCCCAGACATCATTATCAGCTTCTATGAGGCACCCAAGTATGTTAACCAACCTGGAAATCTAAATGAAAACTATACCTAAGTGACCTAAGATATCTTAGGTAACTAAAAAAACTGAGTTGTACTAAAACAAGCAAATATTTGGTTTCTTGAATAAAACAACATTAGTCAAGTAACTCAATTAAGGTATTGTTTAGCAATCACAATGCCTAGATCATCGAAGTAGGGCTGCGATCATTAACTATAGCTGTACTTGAAATTCATCATTTTGTAATAATTTTGTAAAACAACACACTACCTGATTGAGACTGCAGATCTCGTTGCAGAGTGAAGCTGAACGCCTCCTTCTCCTGATAGGACAGACTAGGGGTGGGAGTGCCAGCCATGCTGTACAGGTCAGCACTCAGGTGAGCCATGAGGTCCAGTGGAGGATCCAGGGAGTCTGTGAGAGGGTCCTGCCCCAGAGACAGGATCCTCTGATGTGTCCTGCCTGTCTGTGTCAAGTCCAGGACCTGCAGACCACCCAGCGAACCTTCTATCATCAGCTGGTCACCTGGACAATCCATCACACTCTGAGATGATTGATGCTGTTACATGGTTATATAGATTGTTTATAATTAGGGAAAAGTCGATTATCAATAGGCCTACCACAGATACTTGCGCATTGGTATCGGTATCGAGGATTGATTGTCAAAATTCAATGACGATACAAATACCCGACTTGTCTGGCAAAGATCAGGCAATTGAAAAAATTACCATTTTGGCCGCAATCACGCATGACAACGATGATGTTTACACAATTGCGGGAAATGAACAGAATTTTACTGCGATTGCGGAAGACGATGATGATGTTTTCGATACTGCAGAGTTATTCAGAATTTTGTTGTGACAGCAGAAGACAATTCTGATGTCTATAAGCCCACGGGAAGGGGTCAAAATATTGCAGCGATCGTGGGAGAAAGTGATGTTGTCTACAAGAGCGATGTGATGACTTCTGTCACGTAGGAAATAGTTCAGGCTTCTAAAACAGTATCAAGCGCTACCTATCATATGAGCTTTGCTCATGTTTAATAACTACCTATTCAAGTGGTGACCAAAAGTGTAACAAAGTTCTTTCTAAAATAATCCCATTGTCTTTCTAAAAATAAAAATTAATCAGCCTTGAAACATTTTTCTCACCAACACTAGCATTGATCTTGGCATGGCTCAGTGTAACAGTGGCTATTTTCCGTCCGACTATGACGTTGTCTCTCACAACAGCTCGCAGCAACAAGATGTTCAGTCGGTGGAAGTCAAAGGTCAGTTGAGTTCTGGTGGAGGGAATCACAACACCGCTTGATCTCCGACTGGTTGCCTCGGACCCTGACAGAGCATCTACCTCGTCCTCTGAAAATTATCACAATTAAAATACTGATAAGTTTAAAAAGTGTTTTTGAAATGTTTTAAAAGGATTAGTCCAGTCTACATACAAAAGTTGTTTTTGTTCAATCGTTAGCTGACTGCTGATGCATTACCTTGCTGTTTCATGGATATGATAGTTTAAAATTAGCAGTGAAATAGGGCTTAAAAAGCATCTCAATCCATCGGCTGTTAAGGTTAAGAGAGGAATTTTCTTGGGAATGAACATCAATTCTTCAATCAGTTCTCTGGATAGCTAGCCTGATAATTTGCTAAAGTAATGTTATGAAATGCTAGGAACATTGATGACCCAGTAATAACACCTGCAATTTAAGTTGAGATTTATGGATAATGTTTTTACCTGGTGCAATAGGTATTGGAGGCTTGTGATGATTTGGCTTGCTAGGAAATACTCTCTTGACAAAGCCTATCAGCTCGACAATCGTCTCTTGGTTGGCTGGAAAAAATTAAAATTGTATACTATCATGTATACTTAAAGAAATAAATCTTGGTTAGTTATTCCGAGTGCAAAACATAGAAACAATGAAACATAAAAAATTATTTTTAACATAGCTGAATGGTTCTTACAATCTGGAGGTTGCTAGTGAAATACCAAGCAGAATTGATTGTGAACTCAGATGCCATTTTGTCATTGATCATAAGTTACTTGTGCAATGGAACAAAAGATCAACGTTAGGTAAGAACAAGACCAAACTGTTCTCTAACAAAAATGGTAAAGTTGAGTTCTTAAAATGGAAGTTAAAGTCAAAAGCTTTACCATACATGAAAAGTATCTACGGTCTTGATTTTCTCAGATAATTAAAAACTATAATACTATAATGGTTTCCACCACTTCTCTAGTCGATCTTACCAATGATGTCGAGGTTGTTGAACTGGATATTGGCTATCTGCAGATTCTCCCGTGTATCAGTGTTGGAAGGACAGTCCGCACTGACAAACACCAGCTCTATGGTGATGAGAGCTTCAGAAGTGACAGTGACATCTCCCAGGAGAGGTGTGGTCAGCAGCGGGGGCCGGGGGCTGGCTATTGGCGGAGGTGATGAGGCGTAAAGTAGATTTGGCGGGGGAGGAGACTTGGCTGCAATGTTATTAGTTATGAGTCAGGCTTACACTAAAAAGTCTAGATATAAACTCTTGTCAGTTGCATTGCAAATTCAGGGGTTGACTTTTTTTTTACTTAAATATTTTATTGAACTGATTGTTGTATACAATTGGGATGCGTCAAAAAAGTTTACATAATAAAATAAAATAAAAGAGCATTCCCCTACATTGCATGTCTTTTACTCTCTGAAGAAATTCTATACACTACGGTACAATTTCAGTGTTACATTTGTGTGCATATGTTAACCTTGGACTCTTAATTTGTTTCAGGTAAGCTATCTGAACTCAATCCCTTCTCAAAATAATACTATAAATTTTAGGTATAATGATAAAACCAACAGTTACCTCTGGTGATGTCAGTCTGCAGAGAGGAGAGTGCAGACGTGATGGCAGACGAGATGGTTGTAGGGAGGAGACGGAAGCCACTGCGTCCAGACAGAGGGTCAGGAGATCCCGGAGATGTGGGAGATGTCGGCTCACTGTCTCGCAAACTACCACTTACACTGTCCATCCTACACAGACAAGAATGGTTTAAATCAGCCGGATGTGCATTAGGTAACTTTTTGAAAAATCTGCACAGTTTCATACATCTTGCAAATGCATTTTACTGCCTGGCAGTTCAGAGAAAGTTTTTTATTCAAGTAGTATTTTGTGAATATTTCTTTTAGGGCTTCATGAACCTAACATGGTTTTAGAACGATGATGTTCTGTGATGTTTTTAGACCTTTTAATTTGTATTTAATTTAATGTACGGTATATTTACCCAATGTCCCTCAATGAGTGTTAATTTTGGATTTTTAACAATGGTTAAATGCTAACCCTAGAACCCTCATAAACATAACCAAAAACCGGATCTAATGATATTTTTTTATAAAACTATTTTAATTGTGGACCTTTAAACAAACCAACTTGAAATGGCATCACCCTTTGTAAAAATGGTGGTTAAACTGTCATTAAACTATCAATATAATATATTAAATTAATTAAAGTGTTACAGTTTATTAAAAAATATTACCCAACTACAACAAATTACCTTACTATTTTTCTTTTGATTTATTATTTTACTACTTTTCAATACAGATAATTATTTTAAGATGATAATTTCTCATAAACACTGGGACTATGCTTTTGTCAACAAAAGTTAATACATCATTCAGGCCAATCTGAGCAAAGGCGTAAGTATGGGTCAGATGCATTTCACCCACCCCACATGCTTGTGGCTAGCGACTAGCAGTTCAAAGTCGGGGCCGAACGTTTGCAAAGCGTCGACCAGCAGCAGTCCGTGCACACTGAGACTCAGCGATGTGTCGAAGGGGCGTTTGGTGTACGACATTCTCACACCAGACACTTGCAGCTCTGCCACACTCCGACCTCGAGACTGAACCTGCACACAGAACATTCACTTCCTGACCAGCAATATTTATATTACAAATCAAGGAGAGTTCAATAATCAATAAATAAGCATCCATTCTATTTCCTGACTTATTCATATCCAGTAGTGGCCCTTGCCTTGTCACATGATGTAGTTGATCCTTTCTGGTCGTCATGTAACCCTCAAAATATCAATATATCATATACATCAAATCTAAGATATTTTGCCAATAATAATTAATCAGCCTGAAAGCAAAAACATTTTAATTCATCATTATATCACTATTAGTGACACACTCCCAGCAACGTAAAAAAGATTCAGGTGCTTTTAGACGTAGTACGATTCCTAACCTCAATTCATTGGTTTGTCCTAGCAGTTCGACAGATGTTTATTCTGGAGGGTATAACTGGTTTATAGTTTACCTCCAACGCTAGCTGGTCCACAGAGAACTGCAGCATGAGCAGTCTGGCCGCACTGCAGTCACTGATCTCTGCAGGTTGAGGGTTGGTCTCTGGCCTATGAACCACAACATCCACAGGCTTCTCCTCCTCTGGGGAGCCCTCTTGGGACCTAAAACCAACTCGAGGTCAAGCAACAGTCTTGGACTAGATTGATGCAGCCTCAACACACCAGCATTGTAAGGCGAAGAGAAGCAACATCTTCACCCAAAAAATTTTTGAATGGATGAGATCGCTTTGTTACTGATTAATATCAGAAGGTTGGTTCTTCAGCCAAGACCATTTATTGAACCTAATGATCAAGCATAGTTGGTGCAATTTTTAATGATCAAAAAGCTAGTAGATTTTCTTAGGATTGAACCAACCTTCTGATTAGGTGAGCATCAGGTCAACTAACTACCCAGCTGTATACAAACAACATACCTCAGAGGATGATTTAAAGTTATGTTCTATGGATAAAATAATTTTTTCATAAAACTGACGTATATTAGGATGGATTTATTAATTTTTTTTTTATTGTTTTCTTATGATCCTAGGACACTCGGTTTCGGCCCGAGATAGCTTTTCACACTACTTCAGGCTAGGATTTGAACTCGAGACTTCATGGGACCAAAGTCCCACGCTCTACCACTAGAGCAGCTCACTCCCTACATTTTTTCTAGTAGGCCAACATAAAACCAATATGGATGTTGAATTTGCTATCAAACTTACCATTGAATGATTGGTTTCAAACAGTTGTTTTACCTGAAAGGCGACGGAAGGCCACGCCCTGAGATGACATCAAGCAAAGTGCAGATAGCCTGAATCTTCTGCTCGTTGAGGTGAACGACCAGTTTGGGTAGGTTTCCTGCTATTGTGAGACTGGGAAACTGAGGGTCTGTAGTGTAGACAATCCTCTGCTCCATCTAAACAAGTTTTAAACTTACTTTTGGTTGTAATTTGGATTTCCTTTTGATACGTTAAGTTACACAAAATTCCACCAATTGTATGTATCGTAAGGCTATTAGCAGTTACTGAAATAGGATGAGTTCCCAGTAATTGGGAAAGCAAACTACTGATAACTAAGATTGAAATCATTCCTAGGCTCCAAATCAAAGAAATACATACATTTTCAAGTCTACAACACTATGCTGGCAAACTCAGAATCAAATAAGTTGGAAGTATAATTTTCAATATGCTTACATAGAAGATTTAGAGTGTTTGTACAGTTTTTACCTGAAGTGAAATGCTAAAACGGTCAAGGACGTGTAGGGCTGAGGTGCCTTTCAGATGGGCAAATTTCCAGTTGTCTTTCACTCTTCCAACAAGGATCTGTAACTCGTTCAAGTCCACGGAGTACCTAGAATATGGAGTTAAGTCAGTTTCATTGAAACAAAAAACAAGAAAACATGAGAATGAGTAAGTTTTAGTATAAGTATGAGTAGTTAGTTGTGATCTAATAGTACTTCAGGACTAGCCTAAGTGTTAATGCCTATGTCAACAGAAAATAGGTCTGATAACAAGCAAGTCGAGAGTCACAACACTGGTGTATGAGCTGTGAAAGGAAAATCATAGGCCTAGTTGAGAAATAATAAATTATTGTTCAGCAATCCACCTTTTGCTATAAATTAATAATCGAAACGATTATTAATTACCCTGCTGTAGTTAGTGATGTCATGGATGAAATTCCATAGGCCTATGAGTACTCATGACAAGTCCCAAAAGTAAGCATGACAGTGTAGTTTCTGTGACCTTAACAGTGCTTGAGTATTTAAAGAACAATTTTAAGGGCAGTCTGACTTCTCAGGCTGGGTAGAATCAGCAAAGCATGATATGAGATCTTCTTGCCACCCATTGTGGCTAATATGCTGGAGGTGACTTCCTTCTACTTTGTTTTACATTATACAAAAATAAAATAACGTCACATTAATATATTACCTGTCATAAAGTTTATGATGTATGGCTAGTTCACTGATGCTAGCTCCGGAATCAAAGGTTTGGTTGAGAGGAGAGCCTACAGGTTCCACAGGAGAGATAGAGTTGCTTGCCTCACTGCCAGGAGGTGTTGAACAAGGTGTCTGGAACGCCTCTGTAATATTCAATATTCATTAATCAACAAGTACTCAGCAGGTACGACACTAAGCTTTCTAATTGCTTTAGCCAGGCTTTTCAATGGGATGAATGTTGAAAACCAAGTTTTATTATATAGGGGCCTATCTTTTTAGCCACTTGACGGTGATATCTCAAACGAACAAGTTCAAGTCTATACACCTAATAAATTATTACCAGCTGCCTTCTAGTAGGCACCTGAATTGGAATGGCTTTACAAATTTTATATATAGAATTTATTTCTTAATCTCACTGTCCTCTGATGATTATCTCAGACTAAAGATCTACTGTTATTGGAGAAAAAATAACACAATTCTTTAGATCTACTGCACTTAACAGTTACACACCAACCATTTATTATATATAAAAAAAGTTTATAAGGTCTACTAGTAAATATAACTACATCTCACTCCATTCCACAGTCATCTCTGACTCATATTCAAGTTAAATAACACAGTATAGTGTACTTGTCTCAATGTAAAAATGACAAAAGTCGAAGAAACCACATAAGCAGCATAATGAAATTATTAACTTAGACAAAATACAAACAAAGTAAATGTTAATTGAGTGAATGTAAACATTCTGGATTTCAAGCTCAAGATTAAGACCAATTAATAGACTCTTTTAGAAGATCAAACTTGAAACTTTGGATGTCTATGGGGCATATACCAAGAGAATTTGAAAATGAAAATACCAATAGAGGTCTACGAGTTAGATGGGTTTACAGTCTACTTTAGTACTTTTTGTGTAAAATTTCATACCAATCAATTCAGTTTTTGTTCACTCGAATAGTCTTAAACCAGAACCACATAGAAAATTTGATGCAATCTATGATAGGTTTTTCTGTAGTATCTGTAAATATTATTTTTGTAAAAATTGTAGTAATTAAATTGACGCAATCTATGCGATAATGTCGGTCAAAGATGAAGACATCAACAAGTATCAAGTAAGTATTGGCTTTAATCAGGAGGTTATATCTAAATGTATGCAAATGTAAAACATACTAAAATCGTGTAGGACAGGTCCAACCAACATTACATTTATCATACCTTCGGTTTCCTCGTCGGTGTTGGATATCACTGACGGCCTCTGATCCATCGTCTGACTCCTGTTTGTCAGATGCAGTTTTCCCAAGTCAATGACACAAAGGACTGCGTTTTTGTCGTTGAAATGTTCAACAAGGAAAATTTGAGGTGCCGAAATAGCAAGTTCTACATCCCAGGTCTTCCTGGCAGTCTAAAATCAAGACAAGCTGTTAGCTGGTGGCAGGGGAAAACGAGTGAGGATTCTTGATTTATGCTGAATAAATCTTAAATTTGAATGTTTTATTGAAATTCGGTGGATTCATCATTTGCCTTTGACAAACTTGAAGTTTGTATCAGTACTATCCTAATAATTAGACCAATTCGTTAATTACGAGGAAAAAATGTGGTTCGGATTCCAAAATAAACTGTAGGTCCCTTAGTTGCCATTAGCTGTATGGGCTATTAATTAACAGCTGTGTCTAAGGAACATGTCAGCCTTAGTCACTATCAAGACTACAAGATTGCGCCACTCATCCTACACTCATCCTCCACTCATATTTGGGTTAAAATATGCACATAGTGGCGTCCCCATCTTAAATAATTGATAATTGATAAAACTGCTGATTTTGACCAATTTACTTCAAATAATCAAATAACTGTGGTGCTAAAACACTAGGAAATAGTGATATAAAGTAATACATTAACAGATAAATGGATTGTTTCAGTGCACAATGTAACTTGTTACCTTGAACAACACTGCAGTCAACTTGTCTGAATTATATCCTCACTGACCTGATGCCCCTGCAGTATTCTATCCCAGTTCCTCAGCAGTTCTTGCTTGGTCCTCTGCTTCATAGCGTTGTATCCTTGTCTGGCAGCCGCTCGGAAACTTGGATCAGAAGTTTGGAACGGACGAACAAAGAAGTCTATGAGCCACTTTACTGCGCCTGGGTTGTACACAACGTCCAGTGCTTGCGAGTGGATTTGGAGCCTAGGAATGACAACAGCTCTGTCAGATTAGGTAAGCTAACTTAAATGCAAGATATGGGAAAGCAATAAGGCTGGTAGAGATTTTTATGAGTGGAATAGAATTTATCTTGTTCCCTTGAAATGTCAAACTCCAATGGCTACATATGAGTCTCTATATAATAGAACTCAGAATCAAACAATTATTTCTCCTTTCTCTTCTTATTCAATTCAATTCGCTTAGGTTGATTTTTAAGTAACCTAGCTAAACTCTAAATACTTTCCTAAAAAACTTTTTGATGAAAATGTTATTTGGTAGATAAGAAAATGTTACGGTATTTCAGAATCTTTTTGGAGTTAATCTACTGCATGGAAACAATGGAAATCAGTATGCCTAATTGGGAAAACATGAAACACACTCTTTATGTTTGTGACTGTATAAGAGTAGAATATGAAATAGTTCCTGTGATTTTAAAAGAGTTCCTCAATAGAAAAAGGCCTACTCAGTACTCAATCCTATTAAAGTTCTAGTGATTTATTTAAGTTGCATACTCAACAGTTTACTGGATATAACTATATTCAACAACTGTTTCTTCGAAGGCTTCTTAGTAAGTGAACTGTTAATTGTTGATACGTTAATGTTAAATTTAAATACATGTGAAAGCAAGAACACCAACTCTTCTTTGGATAGGATTAGACTCAATATCTAAATATAGTAGTACTTGCATAATAATACTAAATGGTGGTAAGAAACACTGGGAAACTAAAAAATTAATTATAAACTTTACTTTCCAAACAAAGGGGGGGGAAATACCCGTATTTTTATGTTTCTTACATTAATTTTCATTTTTCAATGTGGTCCTAATTACATACCGAAAGTCAGCAGCAGAATTGAAAGGTTTGTACTCATACAGAAAGTGGAATAAAGGTTCTTCTTTCATTTCAGAACTTTGATTCAGAAGCCGTTGTAATCCTGGAGGAAGATTCCGAGCTGGTCTTCCAGAAGGAGCAGACTCACTGCCTGTAAATTACCAATATTACCATACAATTGCCTATTTCTGGTACTACTGGATACAAAGAACTTGGTATTGTAAAGCCCTACAAACTTGGTAACCAATAATGTTGTAATCTGTACTACTCAGTGGACCCATAAAGAGTTTGTACACAAGCTGCATAGAAACATACACTGGTGTTGATTACGATCCTGACAGACACAGCAATTTAAATTTATTCATTTAAGTATGTCAAATGTTGCAATTTTATATGTAAATAAAACATATTATAAAATATCCTTTATGACTCAAGATTTAGTTTTCGGTCCTTTTCCTAATCCAGCATTTCTTAAACTTGGAACTTTTGTGGTCCACTTCTCACTAAGTTTGAGGTTAAGGATATAACACCATAGAGCACAAGAGCACTTCTAAAAGTATCAAGATCATAGTGTGTTTTATCAAATACAATTCATTCTTGTAGATGATTCAAATACGAAAGAGATGTTGATAGCCATACTTGCAGCAGCATCACAATATAAACCTGATGGTTTATTCCACAAATATTTTAATCGAGTACACAATACAAATACCACTCACTAAGCTAAGTCCTATTGTGGCCTTACAAAAAAAATACCTATTTTAAAAAGTTTATCAGATTACTTACTTTGGGGGGAAATGAGCACAGGAAATGCAGAATCTTCTGTGAGATTATCATGAAGAGATAGACCGCCCAACATTACTGTCACACAGTGAGATCCAGTCCTAGGTCTACTCTCAAGTCCCAATCTGACCTTCTCAAACTGTAGCTCCATCAGTGACTTCCTGTAATGAAATACAACTGTAGAGGCAGAATACTGGCCTGAAAACACATTTGTTCAAAATATTTTATTTCTGGTATACTTGCGTGTTTTATTATTTGTTGAGACCCTGAAGTATAATTTTATAATCACATTGTTTATGGGGCCTTCAGTTATAGAGTCGTCTCCTTTCATTTCCATGTCCTGTCCGATTCCTATTTGTTGAATGTAGCTTAAACTTTAAGGTCGTTGTGTAGCAAGAGATACAAAATTGTAGGAGATGATTACAAAGTTGTCATGATCGTCAGCGCAATATATGGATGTTTACACTGGTAAATATACATTATTTAAGTTTATGTAATTTGACTGTAATTCCCGCTAATCCTAATAATTCTGTAAATTTAGGTTCAGTCTCAATTAGTTCAGATTAGCCCTTTGGTGTACTCGCAGAAGAATATTTCTTGATATCCTCCAACATCTGGGATACGTTGGGGATTGTACATAATTTTGTGAAGCTATAGACGAATCTGGTTAAAAGGGCATTTTTTAGAGGTATAAATTTTTTTCTTTTCAAGATTTTATAGATATAAATTGTTCTTGAATATTTAAATTCTTATAACTTACGTCAAAAAGTTATAAATTTTTGATTTCTTATCTTATACCCTTTAAAAAATATTTTGGGATAAATCTTAGCAAATTTATTTTTACAATCGCCAAGCCATGATTCAGACTCACTGTAGGACACTGTAGTTACAATAGTATTTTTATTAATTTATTTTTATTTTTATATCAATTTCAAATTTGTAATAGAGCTCGTCCCGCGCACAGGTCTTGTAAGGCCTATGCGGGACTATTATTTTGTATTTCTTATGTATATATATCTTAAGATATTTTTGAAATAAAACAGATTTTGATTTGATTTGACTCTATGGCTAACCGTTGATTGATGACTTACTGGAGTTTTAATCCAGGCACTTATATTTTAAGTAGGCTAATATGTTTTTACTGCTTGACTGTCTTAGGAGCCACATTATATAACACAAGTCTTTCTAAGAACAGACTTGACCTCGTTCATCTATTCAAAATCCTCCTACCATAAACAATGTGTGTGTTGATTACTGTTTTTGAGTTTTATATTAAATCAGTTTACACAGCATTTGTTTCTTCAATCAGTTCTCTTCTTGTCATGTTGCTTAAGCCTATTACTATTTTAGGTCCTATAAAAAATAATTCATATGTAAAGCTATAGACCTGATGAACTGTAGGATGATGTAACTAATAATGCTATTGCAAGTGTGAGGTTTTAATACTTAGGAGGTTAGGAGGAAGGGAATAAATTATACATATCATATTGCATGGTGGAAACATAGAATTTTTATTTTCTTCTTACTTGCAGTCTTGAAGCCAGTCAACAGGCTCTAAAACTTTTTATATTATTATATTATTATTCAATTCAAAACTTGTTGAAGTTTCGCTATTTAGTTATTTCAACAGTTATAAAATTAAAATGGAAAAGAATGTCTTGATAAAAAAAATCATTTTCTTCTTTCTTTCAGTTGAGGCAATTATTCAAGCTGTAAATAAGATATGAAAATGAAATAATATACATAAATTTCTCATTTTAGCGAATTTCCCTATAGGGAAGTAGCTATTACCGTAGGTGGCACGGTAAGACCTAGACCCGGGACCGATTTACTTTTTCATTTTGATGTCCCCAGAGGCCAAAAACACCATTCGTTCAAATTTTTATATATGTATATATATATATATAGACATATATATATATATATATACGTCCGTGAACGCGATAACTTGAGTAATTTTTGTCCGATTTTGATGAAATTTGGTTTAAAGGTGTAAAGCGGGATAAACTTGAATGAGTTCGCGAACCAGCACGATCGGACCATGGGAACGGGGCTTTACGGGGGGTTTTATGAGGTAAAAATAGGTTTTTCTCACTTTTGACCCTCAAAACACAAAATTTCCCGATTTCTCTTAAGACCTTTTTAAAGAGCTTAAAAAAAAAATAATTTAGTATATAAAAGTATTTGTGTTCGATTGTTAGTAACGGAGAAAATTTATAAAATAGTAAATTTAAAATTCCCATGTTATTCTTATGGAGAATATTGTCAAATTTTGTAGTTTGCTTGTTTATGGATATATTTCGATCAAACTTGGCAAATTTATTTATTTTGTACTAAGCTATCAATATTTTACTCAAAAACACACTTTATTAGTTTCCTTGTAGCAGCAAACCTAGGTACTCGTTAAACCTAATGTTATTAAAATATATTTAACTGAAAATCAATTCAGACAAATGGAAATTCGCTTAGTCGGCAGGTTTGCTGCGGCGGGGGTATTATTATCAAGTAATATTATAAACACAGATAAAAGTTAAAACAAACAAATCCGTTAATTAATGATTTTTGGCCCTACCCGAACCAAAATAGTCTGACCCACAGACCCATAGTATTTAACAGAAAATAGGCAGAGCTTTTAGTATTGCGATTGCAGAACGTGTCTGCAAGAGAGGTTTTCAATTTTGCCACGATCACGACTTCTGCCTTTTTTAGTAACAATTCTTATTACTATCCGGTATGTCATAAGTTTTTGTAAAATTATTTTTGTAAACTATTTGAATAATCAGCAAATTGGATAGTTGTAGTTTTGATAACTGGGGTCCTACTATATTTACACGGTTTGTTTATGATTTTGTTATAAAAAAATAAAAAAAAAAACTCTGATATCACAACACACAAAAACTCTTGTTATTTAAAATTAAAGTCACCTGTGGGTGATTAATGTAACAGTTGTGTAAGCAGCAAATCTGTCATCTAATGGGTTTCTATTATATGGAGGCTGAGGTATTCTGTGTAAAACTTTTCTGCTAGCAGACCGAGCTAGCAGATCAATTCAGAATCAAATTCATCATATCCAAAAACAACATTTTTTTAATTATATAATAATCAATGCATAACTGATTCCCAAACATATTTTTAACATTCTAAGAAAAACAAATCAAATATTTTAACTGATTGGTTTATTTATTAGGCCTGACATACAATTTTGCTAAACCGTGGAGAACATAAATGAAAAATTAAAATTTTCTACTCGCAAGTTTGACAGTAACGCCGAGCCCAGCAGAACATTGACAGAATGATTACCAGTTCTGGGGCTCATTTTCAGCTCTAACTTGGTCTTGGAAAACTTTACTTCCCACAGTGATTTCCTGAAAATTGTTATTTCAGGCAAATTTATTTGTTGGTAGATTTTCTTTTCTTTACAAACTACTTAAAATAAATTCTGGATAATGTTTTAACCAGATAAAAACATGGTTGTTATAGTTAGGTTTAGATATTTAATTTTTTTTTGGGGAGTAAATTCCAATAAAATCAATTTTTTTTGTAAATTTATTTAAGTTTAGTAGATTGTTTATTCCACCATTTTTAATCTAAATATTTTATAAGTCCACAAAAGTACCTATACAAAGTTGGTTGTTTGTATCGTTTAAAACTGTCTTGTTAATTTATCATGCTCGACATTATTTGTATCTCGTCCATGCTTTCAATGTTTCGATGTCCTACACTGAATGTAAATGGATGACATCGAGTTTAAAATTTACCGTTGCAAATGGTTTAACACTGGAAAATATTTTAAGAGAAAGTAATGTGGCTTATTAAGGCGTTTTCTGGAATGGAAAGGGGCAGATTTCAGTAAACTTACCAGATTATTTCTGAGCAAAATTACAGAAAAAAGTCATTGGGTGTTTTTTTTATCATCAATAATATTCAAAACTATTTTCTTAAGTACACTAGCTAAACCCTATCCATTAAAAACCTCCTTTTAATAAGAACATCCTGATTCCTGATAATATAATTTTATAATAAGATTCAAATTTTTTAATTAATAATTGTGGGATTTTGGTTTGAGTTTTGGGACAAAGGTTACCGTTTAGTGTATTTGATACTCACTGGTTTTCGTTGCAAAGGTTAAATGTTCCTTGGTTGATGGTAAAATTCAGCTGACCGAAGACAGTGTCCCTCTTCAGCAATGTACTGTTCTCAACCGAGTCAGCCAAAGCATCTAGTATTTCATCTTCTAACGTCTGTGTCATCTGTAAATAGAAAAACAATAGAATTGTTGGTTTTAGTATATTTAATAAAAATATTTGTTCAGTGGAAAAGTCTGTTGTTGAGTTATGAAAACAAAAATATACCAAACAAATTAACATATACTTTCACCCTTATGAAGGCACTAAAGTAGGGTACATTTTATTTATATCTGTCACTTCGGGCTTTTAAGAGGTTGGTATTTTCAAGTAACAATTTTGATTTTGAGTTTGGTGAGGTTATAATTAGTTTACATTACAATTAATAATGTAATATATACCCGGTAATATATACCGGGTTTATGAAAAAGAACTCCCTAGTTTTGATTTTTTTTATTGTACAATATACAAATTACAACGACTTATACATTAAATGAAAGGTAATCAAATAAATGGTTTTAACACTAGTACACTTTGATACTCGAACCATTTGTAGCCCTGCAGATATCAAAGCAATTTTCATTTTTAGCATTTTGTTAATTATTTTTATTATTTCGTTTTTTATTATTATATTCTTTATTATTTATTACTTTTTTATTTTTGGGATTTTTATTATTCCTACCATGTTTACACCTAAAATTGCGCTGCTGGGTAAAGGAATGTGTTTTCACTAACCAAATAACACATTGGCTTTCTGCTGAGGAGTAAAAATTACTCCTCACACAATTTGAGGAGCAACACCAAGAAGTTATCATTTTGACGCTAATTAAGACATAATCCATTTGACACTCATATGTTATGTTGGGCCCGTAAGTGTTGATATTGCACTGAAAATGTGAAAAACTACACTCAAGGTCAAACAGGTGTACCAAATTTATTGCCAACGTACAAAACTAAAACTTACAAGCATACTTTACAGCACCAAAGGATTATTACTCATCCATTTAAACTAATACTATCGTAAGGTATTTTTAAAACTAGGGAGTTCTTTTTCGGACACCCGGTAGTTATTAAGTCAAATTAAATTTAAGTAGCACTAAGTGGATCCTCAAGTTCGTTGAAACTTCTATTTGAAATTGATGGCTTACGGATACTTTGTTCTGCACGGTGAGCGTGGAATGGAGTCTAGAGCCAAACCCAAAAAGCAAAGGTAATTCAACATTGAAGCTACAGAGATAGGCCTAGTTCACCATCAAGATCGCTTGCAGGGTAAATAATTAAAACTGGAGTAGGATTATGAGGAACGCACATACAAATTCTTTACTTGTATGCAAAAACAATTCGGACTGTCAGCTTATTGGATGCCAGTTCACAGAACTTTACTGAAGTAGTAAAGTTTTATCACCTGTATTTAAAGTTTATATTTCTTTCTAAACATTTTTAACGTTCTATTACCAACGTAGCTTAACATGAGCACCAACCTCTCTGCTCTGTTCCGTCGTGCTGGCCGCGCCCTGAGGTGGAGGCTCTGGTGTGAGTGAGGGGTTGGTGGAGGTAGGGGAGGAATACCACCCCCACCACTGGGGGAACCAGCTGAGCAACACACTGCGTCCCTGGCTGTGACTGTCGGGTGGCTCTGGCAGTGGAGGAGGGCGCACTCTGGTCATCGCCACCTGAACATGCAGCATAGAGTGGGGACAAGCAATAGCTTAAAGTGGTATAGCAAATTAACTGTGGCAGAGCTGATAAGAGAGGTCAAAGAGGGAAACACAAGTACCTCAAAACTACTATAGTAAATAGCCTTTGTACATTCTTGTAGTTGAAAAACCAACTCGACTGTTTTTAAGTCTGTAGTAACTATTAATGTTATAACATAAAGGATTTGTATATTACGCCATAGATAAAACATACTCCCTTAGTAGATTTCTCATCCTTAAGGAACAGCTGAAGACAATTTTATTGTTAGTTCTGTACGGTTTATGTAGAGGTCGTGTTTTGTTTACAATTTGTTTCCCGTTATTACAGCCATTTAAAACCTCGTTTAACCAAATAATACGATCTAATCATAAACAATAACTTGTCCCCTAGTTATATAACCAAACAGTAAAGCACAAATCAAGAAATTAACCCTAAAATAATAAAAACAAAGTTTTGTCGACACTAGCGCCCAGTGTCACCGTACACGAACTAGACACGAAAAACGTGCTTCAAAATTTACAATGGGATGAGAAGTCTACTTGTGTTGGTTAGTCTATGATTACGCTTACCGTTCCAATTTACCGATATCATTATTGTAGTAGATGGTTAATCTGATCAACAGCTAGTTGTCTATTGCATTATCTCCCAGGCCAGGATTCACAGATCAAATCCCTCCACACTCAGGGACGGTGTGCAACTCAATAGTCAACTTGTTAGTGACAATTTTTACGTAGGTGAAGTCATAACAACGGATGGTTCAAGTGAAAGCTGATAGGATGGATGACGGATTTGAAGTTCAACTCATTAAGAATTTATCTTTCTTGTAAACTTCCTCCAGAGACATCAACTGTTACGGCTTTTCCCATCACACAAGTTTATATTGAGTTGCACAAGACCTGACTGAGGAGGTTTTTAGGCGTATACACATAAATCTACTACAAATTTGTTTATAAGAATTTAGATTCTCATAATAGGCCTATGAGGTAAAAACATGACAAAAATATTTGTAACAATGAAATAATCCCTGGGGGCTCAAAGGACTAAACACTCATTTTCAAACGAGGATTTATTGCAGAAGCTACGTGTTCAAACACTAACCTCTCGTAACGCCCTCAGCTCCTCAAAGCCTCTCTCCCACTCTACTTTGTCCTTGAGCTCCTTGTTGTCAGGAGCCAATGGGGCAGAGGCTGTACTGGTGTGTAGCAGCTTACTATAGATGTCCACATACGCTATGTTCTCCTATAAAACAATGTGAAACAACTCTCATAACTAATGGAAATGAAGAGAATAAATTTTCCATAGAACTACTATAAGCATACTTAAACGTTACCTACAGCAATGTTTTGGTTTTGTTTAGGAAACGAAGTTGGTCAATGTTTAGGAATCACCCCAAAGGTCCCCAACTGCCTTTATTTAAATACCTATTGTGACGCTTGCTACATTAATCTTATTACTGCCACTTGACTGAGTTCACACTTATGGAGAACAAAAAGCTCAATAGCAACAATAATATTTCTGCAGTGGTTTTTCTAAAAATGTACATGAAATTGTATAGCCTTTTTTTATGAACTTAACAACTACATATAACTTAAAATATCATATAAGTTTTTCTTTTACTCGTGGTCGCCCAGGTTTTTTGATATTGTCCGTATTCATTGTGCGGAACCAAACTCGCAGGCGATTTAGTAACACATTGAGAGGATTTAATCAAACGCACAGATCGGCTAACAGGCAGAGACTGAGCTTGTGGCACAGCTTGCAACAGTGGGCTGATTTCTGAAAGCTTATTGGATGCCGCTTGCCTTCACCCACGCTCTCCCCACCCGACTCAAACTGGTTTCGGTCCTATTTTGTAATCTATCTATCTATACTTATAAAAGTCAAATACCACTCACTCACTGATCACTGTATCTAAAACTACTAGCCATAACAACTCAGGAATTGGCATGGTTCCAATCAACCTCTAGGTGTGCAATAAGAAGCGTTTTCAATAAATTCCAAAATGATTGCCCCAGTGGCTTTTAAAGTTCCCATGTTATCCTTATGGAGAAAAGATTTGTTTACATTTGATTTTAACACATGAATACTTTTGAATCTGCACTATTAACTAAGGGAACAGCTGGTTATTTTATTACACAAAATGAAAATATTTAATTATTTTTTAGGTTTGAAAATGTGTTTTATTGCATAACACATTTTTAATAGTTAAATGAATTAAAAAAACAAGAAGTATAGGCCCTACTCAGGATGAACATTTAACTTTTTAATTTAAAAATTTTCGTGAGCGTAGCCACGCAGATTTCCTAGTTCTACTATAGAAGTGAGAAACAAACGGACAAGTGGAAGTCAACTATAAGACAGGCAAGAGTGGCATGCACCTACCTTAGCTCTAGTGTGCATGGTGGCCCAAGTCTGGCGAGGTATGGTGATGCAGGTGTAGGCGTATCTCCACCAGGCACGAGGATCCTGCGTCACAGCAACTGTCGGCCGATGTTTACGGTACCTCTGGCTCAGCATCACACTGTCCAGCATCTTTATGCAAGCAACCATCTGGCCAAACTGCTTCTGCAACATTATCAACTCACTTTTTATAAACTTTACTTAACTACGCCTTTAATTTGGATTATTTTGAGAAACACAGGGACAATCAGATTAACTAACCAAATGCTGTTCAAACTATGATCTGGCATTTACAATTTTATTTAATAAAGCAAGGTTTTAGGTAGAGGTGTGCGGATAGTGAAATTTCATTTCGGATCGGATTCGGATCGGATAGTTGAGGCTCGGTTCGGATCGGATCGGATATTGGGAGGTTCGGATTCGGATATTTTCGGATTCGGATAGTTCGGCGCGGTTAATAATAAGCTGCATATGCATTTTTAACATATAAAACACTGTAAAGCTGTGTAAATAAACATAAATGGCGATTTTGAATCATAAAATTTCAAATTAGCCAAGTCCACAGTTTTTCTCTCTTGAAAATCACAATTCACAACATCTATTTTCAAAAGTTGGTTGCTTGAATTAAGTACACTAGCAGCCGAAATCTTCACACAACACTTAAGCTCAGCAGGACTGATGTCAAAACGTTTGGGTTTGTTTACTTGAGGTTATGTTTTATGTTGTTTCCTGGTTCTCACAAGACAAGGATTTCTATCTCAATTTTATTTTCACATTGTATTTCCTTACGTTTTTGGAACAGATTATTGGCCTTAAGTAGCATTCTTGGGGTTTGTCAAGTTTAGAAAACATCACTAATACACTAAACTGGGCTCTAGATTTGATGTTGTGGCAAGTTAATTAGAGCAATTAGGCTTTATAACTCTGTAAAAGGTGTGTATCCCTGAATTTATCAATTTCATTCTACACTTATTCACTGCCAAACATAATTCAGTAGAACCTTGATGAACCAAGAATTACACTAGCCTACATAACTTCATTACCCCAAGTAAAATACCAAGATAAGTTTTAAAAGTTAAAAAGTTTGTTAAAAATGGATTTTAAATTCAACAATTATTGCAGTCCATTATTGTTATGCAGTATGGTCCCAAGTTATTGTTTTTGATTTTGAAACATCACAGTTCATTTGAAAAAATTAAAGTTGAAGCAGCCCAAGGTCAACAAGTCACGCTCGTGTGCAACAATAGTTTTTTACAAGCTTTCTCCAGACCACTGGGGAGGGTCGGGTCTGATAAGCCGTCTATTGTTCACTTCAACCCTCATTAGTGCCGCTCGGCTGCACTCAGTGGGGAACCCAATACCACAAATCAATCTTTTAAATGAATAAAAATATTTGGTAATAATTGTTTTATTGATATTCACCTTGAAATTCCAATAAATTTGGTGTAAAATTTGACAAAAACCGGCTAATTTATTAATACATTACCAATCAAGTACATTGTTAATTAAATAATAGGTAAAAATTAACCGATTTTCGTCAAGTTATACACCCTGCTGTGCTATGTCACAAAAGCTGATAACGACTTGGGCAACTAGGCAACTTGTTGAATGCGTGATGAAGGGAAACCCAAGAAATAGAAGAACAAAGAGAAAGTATAATGACGTTGTTATCTTTATACCCTTTTTACAATTGCTGTTATCGTTATTATCTTTATGTAAGATTTTATGATTTTGTTTTATAGGTTTATAAAATAATTCTTTTTATCCACGGGAATATTAATTTATAATTTATCAACGTGTTTCTCCTGAAACAGCAATACCGGATGTATAATAAAGGTCAATGACCTAAAATATCTTGATTGTGCAATATTGTATTTTGATGTTGAAATTCAAATCATGACAAAAGTTTGTATATTTCCCCTGGTCCCTATCATTTAATCATTTAATATACACAATCAATACTAAATAATCGTGGTTAGTTCCAATTTTATTTTTGATTATTCAAAGTTTCTACACAATAAGACAATCCAAAGTCAAACCGGGCAATGAATACTCGAAAAACAACGTATCTTGTCCTGTGATTGGAATACCACTCGTCAGTCCTTTAGATTTAGGGAAGTAGTGCAAGTCTATATATATCTTCAAGGTCGTACCCACCCCTTCCCCCCTCACGGCCTACTCGACTCACTGTTGCTACCCGTTACCCGGGCTCCTTTCGAGGTCATTGCCCAACCCCTCCCACCCTTCTATTGTGTTGCCTTTCTATTGTTTCTATTCTGACTTTTTTCGGGAAACATTAAATCTATTGTTTACGTAACAGCACATAATTAGGCTAGATTTTTATGATTTAAAACAGTACTGTAAAAAAAACTATTACGCATTGTGCCCCTAGTATCAGGAGACAAGCACGAGTTGACCATGGAAGTTCTTTTCTGCTTTATGTATGTTCGTTCCAGACGAATCTAATCGTAAAGCAAAACAGCTGATAACGTTCCAGACGAATCTAATCATAAAGCAAATCAGCTGATAACGGCTAAACTAGACATCGGTATTGCATCATACGGCTTCTTTGTCCTTTGCTGTTACGTCTACGTCGTCGTCGTTGGAAACGTATCGCTGTAATTTCGTCCAGGGAAACTAATGATGGTTATAAAGATTTAGTTTTCTGTCCAAAACGTCAAAATATGTTGTCTATCCGATAAAGTCGGATATATAAGGGATAGTATCGGATATCAAATTTAGGCTCGGTTCGGATACGGATATCCGAACCGAACCGAATCCGACCCGATTTTTCGGATAACCGCACACCTCTAGTTTTAGGATACAAAATTCAAAACATTTTTTAACTACAAAAACCTGACAAGAATAGTTGACACTCTGAAAAGCAGTTTATGATGTTATAGTTTTATCTACAATTGTTTCAATTGTATTTCATTCATCACACAAAGATTTATCATTAAGCATTAAAGATCAGGATTGTTTAACCATGCTAATAATTACATTATGTTTAAATTACAATGAAATGAATTTGATGTTAAATACAGTAGTCATTGATAGATATTTTTTATCATTTATATATTCTTAACTAATCCACATCACCACTAAAATGTGGTCTTGTACTTTGTAACCTTCATGTATCTATTATCAAATTTAAAACAAACAAAATAAAGAGTGCAAATTAAAATACAGCATAACTCTTACATCTGTGAGTGTGAGACGAACTTGGTCAAACTTCAAGTCACAAACAATCCTTGGTTGTGTGCGTGATCTCAAAGGCTGCTCAGATCTGTTGCGCTTTGTTTGTGCTTCCGCTGACACTGGTACAAAAACAAAGAATTAACATGGAAAGTCAAGTTTCAGCACAGGGCAATTGATTCATAGTGGTAGAAATATAGGTAATAGGGTCTACAAACTTTTGCACTGGCAAATTATTAAACATATTCTCTAAGTTGAGTAATTCTATTGTAATTTAAAACACTAGTCATTTTATTTCTCTCCTCACATTAACATAAGAAAACAATATGCCATTTTGTTGGCAAGTTAACAGGAAACACCAAAACATACCAGTTTGGTGTTTGTGAAAATAATAGGGCTGTCCATATAGTATCAGACATTTCGCATTGGTGTGGTTGGGATGAGGTTATTGCCGCCACATATGCATCAGAGCATTCATACACTTAGTAGCTATAGGCTACATCTAGACTACAGTAGCTTTTGCATCTTATCTCTCATACTTCGTCTACAACGGAGTGTTAAAATGAGTGATGTTGTTGCACAGTCCCGCCAGATATGAGGTGCGCTCTCTGATCAGATTTGTGTTAATGAAAAATCATAAGTCAATTGAAAACTGATAGCAATAACCCAAGCGGCTCCAATGCAATGCATTAGTTATTTTCAGGACAGCCCTTTTAAATTTGCCTACAGAAAGCGCTTCAAAAAATCTTTTGACAAAACATCATAAAACATGAAATTAACAAAATCATTTTACTTTATCTGTGAGCAACAACAAAAAAACAGGTGATTAAATCTACAGTGGGAAATTATGTGAAATAACTATAGGGGAAAAAACTAATTAAATACATCAAAAGAGTAACTTAGTTGTAAGAAATTTTAAGTTATAAAGTGAAAAACCAAACAAAGCTTAAATTATAGATATAGGCCAAGCCTACCTGGTACTAGAAGATAGCAGTGATTTTGATCTGCTGCTTTCTTTCCCATTGCAACCTGTGAAAACCACAAATTGAACTTGAAGTGTGTTTTGAAGTGTTCTATTACCATCAATAGTGTACATTTGAGACAACACTGCCACCTAGGTGTGTACTTTTAAACGCAACACGAACAAAATATTGATATATTGATGTATAATGGAGTGATATAATCTATGTGGATTTCTTACTGAAAGCACCACGATCAAGGACAGCTCAGCTTATCAAAAAGCTACTTGCTTTTTTCAGAATCGAAACGGCGACCTAGTGAATGTTGAGCGAGAACTATAACCACTCCGCTATCCAGCTTTGTAAAAGCAGATGGAGCCTTTACAGTAAATTGAAAAACTGGAGCATGACAAAATGCCCCCGTCACATCAAACTAAGCAGGTTGTCTAATTGGATTTGTGCTCAATTATTTCCCTTAACATGTCAGATAAAGGAAAAATTCATAAAGATGTGAGATTTTTTCATTATTTACATAAAATTAGGTTTAAGGAGTACTTAGGTATGCTGCTACAGGGAGGGAAACAGGTTTATTTCGGTAAAATGTTTATTGTAGCCTATAGCATTACTGTAAATAAATGAATTTGAAGCTTTTGATTGTATCAATAAACAAGCAAACTACTACAGTTTACTTTTTCTCCATAGGAATAACACAAAGGAATTCTGATTGGAGAGTGTTTTGGAATTATTTCCATAACCTCATGCAACAACACTTCAATATTAAAATTATTTGTTTTTTAAGCTTCACATAACGTCTGTAATGCAAATGGGTGGTATTTTAATAAATTTTGTAAGGATAATACATATATACATACAGTTATGTACGTTACATTTTAATTTTACATAAAACTTGAACCAATAGTGTTTTGGGTATTGGCCTACATCAATTTTTTTTTTTTTTAACTGTGTCAATGAAGGTCTTACCTTCCAGGTTATAGAAGTAAAAACAAAACTCACATTCTGAATTACCCTCCCAAACTGAACTAGGCCTACTCACCGACAACTCAGGAATGGCGAGGTCTCCCATCATCTGTTCCACAGGGATGTTGTCCCAATAGACAGCGAGGTTGGCCAACTGCAGCAGCTTGAAGCAGCAACTCTTGTCTCGGCTGGAGGCGCCGGGCGTCCACGTCTCATCACAGCTGCGGGCGGTCAGCGACTCAATCTGTACACCCAGCACCAGCCCCGCTCCACTGGCCGTCTGGTCGTCCTCGTAGCGGAAGTGGACGTCAGAGATTTTCAACTGAGAGGAATGGTAATCAGTTGGCGAAATAAATTGTATCAAGGGGACCCATGCCCAAATTGTGTATTTTTAATAGGAAAACTCATCTCTGAGGCATTTGGCTCAAAGACAAGATTTAATTACTTTGTAGTTAGAAACAATTAAATTTAAACATTACTTTTAATATGTTGATTGTAGATTTATAAAGAGTTATTTACCTACCTCAATCAGGCTATAAAAAAGTAGCCTAATCAAACTCATTTTCATAAACTGTTTTTTACCTTGTGTACAATCTAACGGATGTTAAAAATAATTAAAATGAAGCTGTTGAATTTTCACATTCAAGAGAATTTCACTGTAATCGCAGAAAAGATTATAATGTCCACAATTCTCACTGCGGGATACATAGGCTACTATTAAGAGCTTCTTACTAGTTTGCTTTATTTTAATGTAGTGTCATTAAAATAGGCTAAAGCAAGCTAGTAAGCTAGCAGCTAGCAAGCTAGTAAGCTAGTAGCTAGCAAGCTCACCTGCAGGTTCTCAACGATGCTGGTAGCCAGACTGGAGCCGTAACTAAGCCAGGAGCTGTAGCTGCTCGCATAGTAGCTGTACTCTGGATTTGTGTCTGTCTCCGCTCGCCATCTTGCCTCAATAGCATCCAGCAAGCTCAGTTTATACTCGTACGATGCTTGTTCCTCTACACTTTCATCCCACTGAAAGAATGTTTACTAGGTACAACTAACTGACATTAACGAATAGTAGGTAGGCTACATAATTATTACAGTACAGGTACTGCATTAGGCCTATATATGGTTTATGTAAATGAAATGTAGACTAAATAGAGACTAGAGTCGAGATGTAGAGGTTCTTTTAGGCTCACTGGAAATGATAAGTAGGCTACCGGCAACTTACAGCAAATTAAAAAATTTAAGTTAACAGTGTTTAGACAGAAGTGGTCTTGTCCTGCTACCATGAGAAAGAAATTTTCAGCAAATTTCTCTTAACAAGAATGCAAGAATTTTATATTTTGTCCTGTCTTATTATCTGAAGAGATGACCTGCATTATTTCAAAATATCAGTTAAAATTGTTTTTTGTAAGTTACTAGGCCTATATATTTTTTTAATACTGTATAAAAAAATACTATGCCCTAAAAGCCACCTAAGATGAAGTAAGTTACTTCCATTAAACCTCTTTTTCTATATAAGTTAGCAGGTTATTTAATACTGAAGGCCCTACTGTATTGTTCAGAATTAAAATATATAGCTTAGGCTAACTTCTGGTTTTGTAACATATAAAAAATCTTTTTTAAGGTTTAAAAACACGTAACAAATCATTAACTAACAATATTCAGTATGATAATAAATTACTGTATTACCACCGACAAATTAACTATCAAGGCCAATATCACAGCTGCTCAAATACCCATTAGATACATTTAGATAATTGTGGATGATTCACAGTTCATATAATCTGAAATATTGTTAACAGCTTTCTCTTTTCTGCATAGAAGAATTAATTGTAGAAACTGTTCCCTTCTAGACTAGCTATTTACAAGGGTAAATTTAATAACTTCATTAAAATGAAAGTGTAAAAGAAAAATCCTATGAATACTGCTGTGGGTTTTTTTCTGTCAGGCTACAATGAAAACCAATCAATAACTTATTTAAGTTATACCAAAACATCCACCTCAAAACATGTTATGTCTACGTCTACAGCAGAGCATATTTTGAGGGATTTCCACTAGGCGACAGTGGCGCCGGACTTACCAGGGCGTATGAAATACCTCCCATCAAAAAGAGGGGTCCGAGGGTTCCCCGGCGGAAATTTTTGCATAAATTAGAATAAAAATCACACATTTCTACGAATCTTTTAATGATTTTTTTCGATTAGGTACATTTGCTTGTAAATAGTCAAAATATCATCTCACTTAATTACGTATTCTAGGACGTTGTAACAGGCCAATGCTCCCTTCACAACCTCTAGGGCCAAAATAATAGCTAAATGCTCTAAAATATTTACATAATGTTATTTTTTTAATTCTGATACATTAAAAATGAGAATCATAAAAAAAAAATGCCGGCACCACCCATAGTCACTAGGAGATAAAATCTCAGCGCTCACATTTAACATGTTATTTTATGCCCTGGTCTACAGAGTGTACGTAACTTAAGAGATGTTTTTTCTTTAAAAGATGGACATAAAATTATACCTGTTTGATGGCTCTCCAAAGGTCTCCAAATGTAAAATTTCAACCCCTTTACTTGCGTAAGTAGTTTTTACATTTGCCAGGAACAAACACATGACTTAGACACAGGGTTGGAAACAGCCTGTTGTTTCACAGTTTGTTTTATTTGAATCTTAAGAATTATCAGTACGTTAGGCCTTGCTTCTAAAGCTAAGTTACGTACTTAAGTTATAACTCACTTCTGATAATCTTACGGGTCCAGTCACCAAATACAGCTGGTCAATGCTTATTTCCCACGGAGCACTGCGTATTTGACTGACAGGGACCTTGAGTCGAATCTTACCGATGAAACCTGCTCTGACTTCAATTGGTAGCCCGATGTGTCGTAAAGCATCTTTCCGCAAAGGTAGGTTTTCAAGCTCAACTGCACCTGTTTTACATTTTTATAATCATCACGTTAAACTTACCTATATAACAAACTTTAGCCTAAGCAAATCTTACAAATGTAAAAAAAAATGGGTCCAGACTTCCGTATCTGTTAGCACAACCAACCGAATGAAAATATCGATCGATCTCGATATATAGTTTGATTAGTTAGGTAAGGTTAACTTAACCTAACTAACCAAATATATACCGTACAAATGAAACAATCGAATAGGCCCCTAATCAATAGATTTTCATTCGGTTGTTTTTGCCAACAGATAATGGAAGTCTATGGTACCTACCCAAAATAATGACTAGGGACAATCAATCTGAAGCTTCCCTCATCTTAACACCTTGTTTGAATTATGATAATTACAGTTTGAAAAGTAGCCTCTAGGCTACTGTAGGCCTACTTATCTTCCTAGTTAGCCTAGTACTTTGTAATATTAAACTTTTCGGCTGCACTTTACTTTAGGTCCTACAAAACAACCGAATGAAAATATCGATTATTCGATTGATTCATTCAATATATCGTTTGGTTAGTTAGGTTAGGTTAACCTTACCTAACTAACCAAACGATATATCGAATAATCGATTTATCGATCGATATTTTCATTCGAATGAGTGTACCTAGGACCTTAAGTAAAGTGCAGCCAACTTTTCTTAGGCCTAGGCTGTTCAACACTGCTAACTTATATAAGTTACTGCATAAGTTTAGTTGAAATAGTGGCTTAAATTATACTAAATTAGGCCTAAGGCTTGCAAAAACATTAAAATGTTATGATACCCTAGGCTCAAGTGCTTCTAAGGCATTAGCTCCATAGGGTGAAATAGGTATAGATTAAAAAACATCACAAGTCCAAGCAGACGTTACCTATTATCTAATTAGCATTCAATAAAACTGCTCACCTTGAAGAAGAGCTATGCTTAGCTGGTCTGTGTTAAGATTCTCCACATATTTACCCAAATAATTGTTTAACACCCAAGCAACTAGTCCCTCCAACATAGTTAAGAATTAAGTTAATCGACGTTCATACATAAAATTTGTAAACGTTTAAATTTACAAATAGGCTACACATTATACATTTGAATTTAAATACAAATACGGTGGCCCTACTAGTGCTAAGAACTAATTTCAATTTATCATGTTAACCTAGCTAGAACGTAGTTTTCATTGCCGTAACAAACATGCATATGCATACACAAAAACGCTTTGCGCATGCATGACTTTTTTGTTGTTTGATTGATAAACATTAAGTAACAACCATCACACCATTCACACCAAATACCAAAATGGAAATGGCAAAATAGTCAGTCGATGTCGTCTGAATTAGCAGCTGACTAAAAAAACTTGTTCAGAGCCAGTAACGTAAGTTTTTTTCAACATGAAACTTTAATGTCTGCCATTCATTAAAAATCACAAATTAAGTGGTTTTCGACTATTAAACTTGGAAACCTCATCAATAAATTTTTCAAGATAACAAATTTGTTTATAATATTCATAGAACAACTTGCACAGAAAACTAGCCCTAGCAGATTTTTGGCCCAAAAAAGTATAGTGAGGAATTATTAAGTAACGAAACCCATACAAAATAAAACATGTAAACCATTTCAACGTTATATATGCAATATAAATAATATTATCGTCCAAACTACACAACATTCAATCCACCCAAGTACTTTCAAATTAAGTATATACGGATTTGACTTTTTAACGTGACCATAGCCAAGCCAGGAGGCTACTGAACGTTCTACACCGATTTTATCCAGCCAATATTTTAATTTTATCCAAGGTCAAGAAAAGGTGTAGAATCATAGCTGGTTAGCTTAGGTCTTTAGTTATACTAATTAGCTTTACTAACACAATATTAATCCTGCTGATTTTTTATGCACCATTTTTTAAATCACCTCACACTCTATTGTAAACATAGACCTGGATTATTTTGTTAATTCTTGTAAAATAATATTGTTATACCTAACCTAGATAATTCTGGCATAGTGACATGTGATTTAAGCCCTGACAGGTTTACATGTCCTCACCCTCCTTGACTTTAGAGAGGACTACTGTAGCCACTGGCCACAAACAATTGTCCTACTCCATGTGGGTACGCGTCTAATTGGCACCGCGTCAGATTGGCACCGCGACAGATTGGCACCGCTCCTAGAGGTGCCAATCAGTCGTAACAGTACACGACAGATTGGAACCTGGAGAAAGGGGTGGTGCCAATCTGTCGTGGTGCCAAGCTGACGGCTGCCGCAGAGGTGCCAATCAGTCGTAACAGTACACGACAGGTTGGAACCTCGAGAAATGAGTGGTGCCAATCTGTCGTGGTGACAAGCTGACGGCGGCCGCAGAGGTGCCAATCAGTCGTAGCAGTATACGACAGATTGGCACCGCTGTCCTCAATAGGCCCACCTGTTCGTTTTACTTACTAGTCTGATGTTTGAAAACAGAAACGTGTCAATACTTGATGCAATTAATGTCAATTAATGCATACACATTGATAATAACATTAACTTTAACAGCACAAACCGCTTCGTAAATGGTCCATCTAATCAAAGTTACAGTTCCTCAAGGCTTTTAATATTATGCCATTAAACTCAAGTTTATAATTTGGAAAACGTCTGATACCTACTAAAGTATTTGGCACAATTGAATGAAACCTTGCAGTCATTTTTCGGAAGTTGGGTGTGCGTTAACCTGGTTAAAAAAGGTTTTTTCATTCAGAAGTTACAGCTTGTCAAAAATATGACAATTTATCATTCAGTTAACTAATATTATTTCAATGAAATTATATTTTTTATGCATTATAGAGTGATAAATTGTGATATATTTGAGATGCTGTAATTTATTACTTAATTTAACTTTTTGTAAACAAGATGCGGTTGCACGCAAGTAGGCTTGCCCTATAAAATAATTACCGGTACTTCCTTCTTGGACCAAAACGCTAAAATCAGGTAATGTATAACTCGAGGTATGGTTACACTGAATATGCAAATCTTCTGAAATGGGGTTATTTAGGCGTGAAATTTACGTGGATTAAGATATATATAGCTATGGAAATTGAAAGTGGTCGCTATGATGGATTTTCTGCCTCATATCAGGACTTTGAGAGAAAATACTGTACTTTTAAACACTTTTTTAGTATGCATCTAGATATAGGCTACATGCCATGATGTCGTGTTAGTTAAGCAGTTTGTAACTCGAGACCGGCTGGATCTTTTTAATGATTTACAAGAGGTTCTACCCGCGAATTCACGGGCGTACAGAAGCCACCATTAAATTATTTTAATCAACTTTGACTTTATATTTCATTTAAAGGGCCCAAGTTCTAGGAATTCTCATCTGAAAGGATGTTAAAAGCAGTGGAACCTTCATACATTACGTCCTAAGGTGGCCGAGGTGGGTACGGTTGTACCTGAACACGCCGCTCTCGTTCACGACGTCTTTAATACTTTTCAATGAAATGGCGACCTGTTAAAGATCGGTGAAAACCTCTTGGAACTAACAACATACATGGTTTGTTAGTCTCATATTCATCGTGTTTCGAAAACCTTTAATCACCTACAGAACAATCAAACAGCCTATTATCAAACAGTTAGAAATAGCTTCACTGTTAATTCACCGCACCTCTTTTAAGGACATAAAAGTTAATAATAAAACAAGTAAACAAAAATGTAAACAAACAAACTATATTGTCAATTGCATTGGCCAGCTGTTGTTCACTAAATTATTCGAATAGCGTTAACTTCAAAACATGCAAGGCGTATCCCTTTGGAAATAAGCCTGTGGAGCAGAGTAAAGGCGGTTTCACACTGGCGTCATTTCATTTCATCCGTCCGCGGACGATAATTTCGTCCGCGGACGGATGAAATGATTCGGATGGTTGCTACGCGCCCCCTTCACATTGCGAGCTACGTTTCAAGCGTCCACTCATTCGCGCATGCGCATAGGGAAGTTGGCAATTCCTACTACAATCATAGATTAAACATACTTCCTCTTACATCTCAGTGGAGGTGTGCAAAATGTCTGAGCCTTCTGTCCCATGGTGTCAACCCGGATTTTCTGTTCTGTGGCTTGATTCAAGTAGTGATGATAGTGACGACGAGGTTGTACTTTTGTACTCATTATCAAAAAGGGAAAAGTGGGTTCATCCGATTAACAGTAAGCGGCAGCGATTTGGTGAATCATTGTAATAATGCAAATAATCATAGTAATACAAATCATTGTAATAATTATTTACTGTACAGTAATTCGTATAAATATACATGGTTATTGGTTAGGATACTTTATTCTCTTTGTAATCTCTTTGGAGTGTAGTCGCAATTTCCGACCAAATTTTATCTTTCTCTTGTTGATCTCTATAAATTTCTATAGTTGTATCCCAGATAACTGGGTAGGCACGGACAGCCTCAATTAATTCAGCCATAACAAACAACAAGGGAGGACACAAAACAACAACTAGATGAACACTATGACTGTAAACACAAACTACTAAACACTGTGATACGAGTGAAACATGCATCGCTGAGAGCTACACGTGGTTTAGTGCTCTGTCTGCGCATACGCGAGGGCGTGATCGTCCGCGGACGTTTTAGAAAAATCGCTCCCAGAGCGATTCCGCCAAATCGTCCACGGACGAATTTCTGCATCCGCGGATGGACGATACGTTTCAATGGGTGGTGTGAACGGTCCCATCTGATAACATGGGCAGCGATTTATTTTCGCATCCGTCTGCGGACGAAGAAATCGTCCGCGGATGCCAGTGTGAAACCGCCTTTAGGGAGTTCGTCCATACCAATACTTTTCGGCAAATCTACACACTCTAAGCTTCATTTTGATATGCCATATGCCTATATTTTTATTTGGTAAAAGGCCTTAACCGTTTACATAAAATTTGATTGTATCACTTTAATAATATAATAGATGATTTGTTGGATTCGTCTTTAACCCGATTAACACATGAATCTTCAGTTCAGTATTTAAATTTAGGGCTAAGCCCCACATATGTATGTTATGCGTATGAAGAAAAATATGATGGTTTTTGACCATATGCATAGATTAATTTAATATATTTTAGAAACAGCTGACTAAACATTTGACAGGTAATGTAATTGAAAGTCATTTTCAGCGGTTTTATGTTGTCTGTGATTGTTTTTAAAAGGCTTATAAAGGTGGCCGGTTGATTTAGTTTTTCTTTACTTTTATTGGGTACAAAGTTCGCCGGGGAGTATGTAATGTACAGCTCGCTCAATGTTTCTGTAAACATAACAATAAAATACGTTTTATATTAATTGTTTTTCGTGTTAACATTAACAATTCGCATGTGTTTTCCTAGTAGGCCTACGTTTATTTAAGGAATCTTGATCAACAGTAATAACAAAAACTAGTCGAAATCAAAATACTACTGAGCAAGGCTTGGTCCTAACAGTAGGCCTACTTTACAAATATTAGGATTGAGAAACAGATGGTGTGGTGTAGTTAACTGAACTGTCATTAATAAAAAAACGACCCCTAAATGCCTCAAGGGTCACAGCACTGACGCTAGTTTTTATTTATGGCCTTGTCCTATTTCAAAAAAGGATCATCTTATAAAAGGTGCTTGAAAAAATATTCGAAACCCTCCCAGCGTGGAGTTTTCCGGCTTCCTCAAATTCTCTGTACGTCCGCTCGTTTGTCAATGTCAACGTTTATGTTGAAGACCAAATTGACAGTTGGAAATGCCACATAACTTGCAGACTCAAATATAGAAATCCCCGTAATTTGAATAGCGTGAGGATGCCAGCAGTTCCTTGTGGTCGCCCGTAACAAAGACACTGTTGTTTGTCAACAAGGGATTAGGATTGCCCCGTATACCTGTTATGGGGGGAGGACACCCCGACTTTAAAGCCAGGTTATTGAACCACGAGGGAAATAATAGCTACGGTAAACCATCAGGCCAGATTTAGATTAAATGTGCCGCACACACATTATGTCAGTAGTGAATTGATATACGGGACTCGTATTAAGTGTACTGTACACTGTACTGTCAATAAAGGGGGTTCAATGATTTTAATTAACTTTAATATGGAAATCATTTTTTTTGTAAGTAACACACTGAGTTAATATGGTATGGTACGTGTTATAATGACTTTCCTAACATTAAATTTGAACATGAGGTTAGGTTTCTCCAATACAGCAT